AGAATTAGGTCCATCGCTTTCCATTTCACTTAATTTTACAGAGCATAAAGCTCCAAAGCCTTTCAAGAAACTTAAAAGCACAGATACTCATGGCAAAAGAATAAGCAGTACAATTTTACTTGCTCAGTGCAAAGTATTTGAATAAGTGGACTACAGCAGACCCCCCTCCAAAAAAAAGAAGTAGGGACAAAGTTCTTTACACAGCAAGCACAAACTCTTGTACACAAAGTATATTAAGGACTCCATCCAGCATATGGTCAGTGAAGTGGAAAACTGTCTGCATCATCTGTTCAAATACCAACAACCACCACATTTAAATCTCCATTGGCTGAAAGTGAACATGCATCTGTGCCTATATAATGGCAGACCTTAACCTCACGTTCACAGGTTCTGAAGATGATAAATCCCCTTTCAGAAATTCCAGGGGAGCTGTACATATACCAAAGCAGAACTTACTTGTTAAATGTAGACTGTGAGCATGGAAAGGAGGAAATAAGATTTTTGACCATTCCAACTTAACTTGGCCTACTCAAAACTGTATTTTCTCCCTCAAGGAATGGAGGCTTTGTTATATTAGCTGGAGGAAAGATGTATTTTCTTTCCTTTTCTTTCCCTCTTTTTTTTTTTTTTTTTTCCTAAACCATCTGCTTCATGAGATGCAATACATAAAAGCATTTCTGAACAAAAGAGCTTCGTAAGTATATTACAAGAATAAATTACGTTAGGCTGTTAAAATGTACAAGATATCCAGTTCCAGAGATCAAAGTTTCTCTCAAAAACTAAACTCTCCAACTTCTTTGCTGAGAAAACATGATTTTTTCCAAATTGCATATTCAACTCTGAATTATTTTGTTTAGAACTTACAAATTTTTTTAGCTTAACCTAAAAGTTTATTATATTTATGTAGTAATTCCCTCCATCATATAATTCTTTATCTAAAGGGGGGGGGTGGGGGGGGGGGGGAAGACAAAACACAAAACAGCTACATTTTTCAATCCCTTAGTCCACAAATCAATTAGAAGTTTGTCACTGATTAATTTCACAGACAAAATGCCACTTTTGTTCCTTGAAGGAAAGGAACAGAATTATTGTTTTCCTCCCTGTTGACTGCACATGCATGAAATATAAACAGGCTCAGAAAAATTTAACACAGATAACAAAAATCTCCCAAAGGCACAGGAAATACATGGATACTGAATGCATATAGAGAACATACTGGCAAAAGCCAGTAGAGCAAGACAAAGCATCTTTTTTTTGCCAAAGTTTATGTTTGACTGAAATTTAAGCACTCTAGACAAAGCAAAGGGATCAAATTATTCAATGCCAGGCACAGCCTCTGCAACCTCCATAAACCTGGATAGTGAGCAGGGTACTCGTTGTACTTCTAAAACATTCAGCTGCTAAACAGCACGTGTCTGGACTGTGGTATTTTAGCTTCATATCCTGCACACACAAACACACCAGAATGGTTCCAAGGAAAGTACTCCAGCACCTGTAGATGGAAAGTTACACTGGTATGGAGACAGAAGAAGAACATGATTCCATACCACAAGTTCTGCTTGGTAAGGAAGGCAAATCAGGAGTTAAAACGGAGCAAACAGGCAGGAGAAATAAATAAATTGATAAAAATGAAGGCTAAACCTTTATTTGAATGCTATGCTGATAATAAACCTGTCTCCTTACAGAATTCCCAGTGAGAGAGAGATCTGAGTTGATCCTAATGACCAGTAAGTAAGTCAAGCTGTACTCTCAAAGCGCTGTCTCAAGAAACTGTTTCTTATCCATTAAACCTTGGATTTGGAAAGATCTTCAGGGACATAATACATAAAGGAAAACTGGGCATAAGTCACATGAAAAACGATTTTGTTTTGTCTGAAGGAATGTGCATTTTGCTACAAGACCTCTTCAAATAAGAGTTTTTACATATCTATAGTAATCTTCACTCCAGAAGCAGTGCCATGACTTCTCTTGCATCACTAGACACAAAGAGAATTTGGGAAAAAAGAAAAAAAAAAAGTACACAATTTGAAAAGTGATGCATACATTAGTTATTATATACTTAGTGTTGGAGTTTTTCACCAACATTCCTGACTTGCGATAACACCTCCACAGACACTTGAACTCCCTGTATTTTTAGAAGAAACTAAACAAAGAGTATGAACCACCACCATCATCCTTCTTCAGAGACTTTTGCTGGACACTCTCAGCTTGTTTCCAGTGTGCTACTGTTTATCTCACCTAATTTTCTGGAGCAGAGGTTACTCCAGCTTACTACTAAGAATAGTCTATGAGATACTTAGGTATAATACAGACCTCGTGGTTTCAGTTTTGTTTGGTTTTTAATGCTTGAATGTGAAACACATGCTTTTGACTACGCACATATTCTTCATGCTTTCTAGAGCAAATCTGTTGACTGTATCAGTCATTAACTGCAGTTGAAGTACAGGCTGTCTAGAAAGCCACGATGACTCAGTAATGAATTTTCAATATAGAACCTTGTACGTGGTGCGATTTGAAGATAATCATTTCTAACGACTTCAAATTCATCCACCAATCCTCTTCTCTTGTTCAGACTAATCCTCCTGCTGCTCATGGTCTGCTAGGCTGAGGCTAACACACCTGCAATAAGACCTTTAACTAGAAATCACAGGATTTCTGACAATACCAAAATGTTAGTGAAAGCAAAGCAATATGGTAAGTCATCTAAAACTAAGTCGCATGAGAAAAAAGAAAGCACATATCTAAAAGACTGTAGTGCCACGCCTTTGGGGGACTACAATACCTTTGGTGTATGAAGCAAAATATGGAAAAATACCACTGCATTTAATACCTGGTGTGGGTGATTCCGTAAATGAGCTTTGTGTGAATTACCCTACAAACTGAAAACTCAATAAAAACCTGACATTCTCCATTTTGAAAACAAACAAAAAAATCTATATACTCGGGAGTCAAATTAATTGTACACATCAGTCCTCTACAGTTGCTTGTATAGGTTTTGTGCTAGTCACGGTGAATACAGGCTCTATTATTACAGTGAAATAAGTAAGCTTTAAAAGACAAAACAGTACTGTCATTACTTCACTGATCGTTTAGATTCATACACAATACTCCAAAGAAATTAAAATAGTAAAATATGTGTATATTATACATATTTATTTACTTCTGCTGCTCTACTGGACAGACCTTTTCAGTTCCCCTCAGAATTCAAGTCATACTCTTAGAAACCGAAAAAAATGTAAAATTAACAGAACAGTAAAAATCTTGTCCTTGTTTATGTCCTCGTAACTTAAATATCTTAGCTATTCTTCACAAGTGAAATATTTGCTTCCTGTTTTTACCTGTTTTTACACTGTTTTTACAGTGTCTTTTCTCCTATTTTTGTCACAGAAGATTACATAGACGGTCTGGTTAACTGTCTCCTTCAGGGTTAGAGAGGAGCTTTCCTTAAAAGCTTTCACAAACATTCAAATTCAAAACCTGTTAGCAATAAAGAAATAAAAGCCCTCCTTCGCTTTTAGTTGCTTTCACCATTATTTAAAAAGGCAAAGGACAAATTTTAAATACTCACTGTGTATATAGAAAATACTCAATGATAAGAAGGCATATTAATCAGATTCAAATGAAAGTGCAACAGATACAAAATGTGAAGTCATTTAAAATGCATCTTCAACATTTTCATAAGATGCATTTATTCTTTCGTTGGAAGGTGAAATTTTACACACAAGTAATTTCAGGCCTAAAAAAGGCTTCTGAGTAGCACTGTGATACTAATAGCTCAGTTTAATACAACAAATGGGTAGATTCACCATTATGAAGCACTTCAATACTGAAAAAAGAAGAGGAAAATACTCCTGGGAAAAACAAACAAACAAACAAAAACTTTAAAGTCAAGCCTGCATTCTATTTACTATATATTACAATCCATTGTTTTCTCAAGGGTGAGTAATTTTCAAGACTGAAGTTAGCCTTTTCTTGAATGTGATTTGCCCACACTTATTCCCATCACACTTCCAGGTAGTCTGAACTAAATCAATCCTTCCTCCTTCCGTCCTCCCACTTCCCTCTGTTATTTCGTTAGCAGAAATTAGAATATTCTCAATATTCTCCACTAGAAAGCTTGCAGTGTGAAGTTCAGTGCCGCTCCAATAAAGCCAACAAGCAAACATTCACATATTTTACTGTTCTAACATAAAATGTTCTCTAAAACAAGTAAGAATCAAAAGTCAGGTAACAAGATTAATTAAGGACACATTAAATTTCTTTCTCCACAAAATAAAAAACAATCATCGTTTAAACTAGACAGTTTCAGTTCTACCAAGCAAGCCCTGCAGATCTTTTCTTTCACTTCCAATAGAAACGTGATTAGGACACACTTAAGATTTCTGAGATACTGTGTTGCATCAATAGCTACACATTTCAAGTAAGGGATTAGTTACAGTTTACCTTCTGGTCACTTACATAACTGAAATACCACTTTAAAAAAACAAACAAACAAAATCTAATTACCCCTGAAGATTCACAAAGTTCACTTTTTCAAAATCTTTATTTTCTCTTCTCGAATCAACTCCTAAAAATTTTGTTCAGAGATTGTTATATATTTCTAATGAAAATAGTTTTACTTTTTTTTTTTTTTCCAAGTTTTTTTCTAAGAATAGAAGCAAAGTACCATTATTGTTTTTCTTCAGAAACCAGTCCTTGTCATCAGAATATATGTGGCATAGCCACACACACACACACACACACACACAAAAGTGTTCAGGTGCAGTATCATAAAGATCAAAAAAGTATATACAAAAGAAACCCAACCAACAGTGTATAATACTGCAACAGTTTTTCAGTATATTCACATACAGTAATCTCCGACTACCTTCATCTAACTGTCCATAAATCCTGAAGAATCTTGTCTATAAAATTGAGTTACCCATCAATATACTGTATCTCTCCTAAAAATACCCATATTTTACACTAATATACAAGGTATCTGCTTGCAAACACAGAAGTAGCCATAAATAAAACTTTATTCTTTCATTTCATTTACAAGCTACCAAGTACCATGTATTTACACAGCACTGGACACTTAAATTTAGTTGCAGTCACAAAATGATCCAGACAGCTGTTGATAAAGTAAAGGATCTTAAGATAAAAGCAAAGTAATACTGTAACAGAGAAGTGGCAAAAAAGCAGTTTTGCCATAGTTATCAGACTTGCAAGTTGCATCAATTCTGGTTGAAACAACTGAGCGCCATGCGATTCCCAGCTTTAATTGTTTGCAGTCTGGCTAAAATTTGTACAGTCATTTCTCTTTTGCAGTTATTAAAATAAAAAAAGTTAAAAACTATAGCAGCAACAAGCAAACCCTGTGACAGGAAGGCAAGGTTTAAGAACTAAAAAAGTTTATACAATGTGCTCAGGAAGGTTGCAGAATTTATCTTCCATCAGCTGGAGTTCGACTGAGTGACAACATGATTCGGGCATATCTTTCACACAGTTCATGTGTGGAGTAGGAGGGTAACTTTGGCGGGTCATTGAAACCTTTAATCTCTGTAGAACAATCTAGTAGTTTTGGCAGGAAATCTGTCAGCTTTTCTTGCAAGTTAGCTGCAAATGAAAGAAAAGAACACAACCGTAAGTTTTTAACGTCCACAGGTGCAATTTTCCTCTTCCTGTCCTGCCCCAAACTGACTCTTTTACTTTTTTAATTTTTTAACAGGGATGGGAGCATGAAGAGTTTCACTTGGAATAATGCACTTTCTTCAGTAAATACTGAAGGACACATTGGTTCCTAGGAAGATGTTGGCACAGATACCCCTTCAACGTTTTTCCTTTTGGAAAAAAAAAAGTTTCCTTTAAGGGCACTGTTACATATGGAAAATATTGCAGACCTTCATTATTATACACGGAAAAAACTGCTGTTCATTTAGATGTGCACATACTATTCAAAAGCCACGGTAATTCAAAATATGTTACCAAAACACAAAGGATTCAGGCTCCATTCAAGATACAAACCAAGACATTTAAAAAAAATACTAAAAATCATATACTCTAATAAATACTTACGTTCCATTTCTTGTCCAAGATAGGAACACCAACGATTTCTCATATCTTCCACAGCAACAATATCTTTCTCTTCCATTTCATCCACCAGTAGTAATGGCAAACATGGGACAATAAGCTCATTCATAATGATCAGGCCATTATTTACTTCCTGATCATCTCCTGATTCAAACAGTGCTGCAGCATGTTCATTTAGTTTCTTCATGTACCACCACAAAAAAGAAATTCTTTAAGTATACAGCATTTCACATTTTACCATTCTGTTTTTGTTTGCCTTATGGCAAATCTGCAATAACAACTGAGCTTTAACATTCACAGCAATGATACATACATTCTATTAAACCATCTGATCTTGTACTATTCCTCAGGCCACTTCAGTTGATACCTGCCAACTCAACATTTGCAGCTGCTCGTTTTCAAGACTGAGGTCCTACCACCTGTTCTTGCCTTTTCTTGCTATTGCTAAGAAACAGGTGACACAATCAAGGAAAAAGCTCACCATCTGCTGATGCCTTTTTCTAAATATTTATGTCCCTGTCCAACTGCAGTAACATTGTGAGCTCACCCACCAATACTGTCCAGTGTTGCTTTTACCTAGCCCAGACACAGTGGCAGTGAGCACACCACTTAAAATGATAAAATGATTACTTAAAACAAACACATTCTTTATTTTTACTACATACATTTCTTCCTCTCACCTTTTTCTTATTGAAATCTTCGTAATTTTTAATGAAAGTTTTTTTGGTTTTTGGTTTTTTGAAAATACAGCAACACTGTCTGATTTGTTTAAGCTAAATGGAAAGTTCAACTTTTGCAGTATATTTCACCCTTCACTTACTAGCAAACATTCTCGTCTGTAGTGAGATATCAGCTCTTCATCATGCCCTCTGTATGGGCCTTTGGACAAGAGTTCTTTGTTATTCTGGTAAGCATAGATAAGGTAGAGCAAGGCTTCCATATAGCTAAAGCAAAGTAAAGAAACGAAGTTGTTAGATGCAAATCCAGGTAACACCTATTTCAAGTTAACTACTGTGTTATTCATAGGACATGTAATTTCACTTACTTGTTTGACTGTAAATCCAACCCTCCCCATCCATCTCTTCATAATATTGCTTTTTCTACCACATTGTTTCTTGTTTTGTATACATTAGAACAATGTATTTTATTATCAGGCTAGATAAACTTGCACATGAAGTGTGATCCAAAGCTCACTGACATAAACCTATATCATTTCATCCACTTCAAAAATAGCTTTGGATTAACCTTGAATATACATGAAAGCTTTTTTGTTTTTTCCCTGCATGCATTTATGTCACATTAGAATTGCCATTACCCTGATAGCATTCTATGCCTGACCAATAAAAATTAATCTAAAAAATAAATTGTGAACTTTCAGCCTCACTAAGTTTTTTTCTGGACTAATGAAATCCAAAGTGATGTATGATGCCACAAGAGCATTTCAAAACCAGAAGTACCTCTCTATTGGCACTTCTGTCTGTAATCTAAATGCAGATAATAAATACATTCCTAACTGGTGAAGGATGAGTAAAAGAAGACCTAAGAACCTAACAGTTAATAATCAAGAGATCTCATCCGCCCTGTTAAATCCCCTCACGCTGCTGCATACCATTTCCAGCTAACACCTTAGATTGTTAATTCTCTGACTTGCAGAAACCCAGTCATGACAGACAGCCAGAAAAGCAGTTCAGGCAACTATGCTATAAACAAGCAGTTAGATGTGTCATTTTTATTCAAACAACTAGAAAAATCTAGGGAGAGAAATTTTCTAATGGAGTATTAGAAGAACAGTATATTATACACTCCTAGTGAGAACAGAAGATCAAGGTTAGGGCATAAACTACCAAAACATCAAACTACTAAAAGTAGCTAAAACTTATGTGTGAGCACACAGAGCACATGATACATGAAAAATACATGTCAGAATTTTCCAAAATAGACAAACTCAAGACTTACAGTAAGGCCTCCCAACAAGACAACATAAAAGGAAGGGAAAAGGTTACTTTAAATAGCAGTGGTTACTTAAAGGTTTACTTTCAAATGTCACTATTTTTTCTTGTAATCCTAAATATTTCCTACATATATATAATTGCTACTCTCTGTCTTTTTGTCCTCAAAATATAGAACTGTGTCCTCTAAAGCAAGAAGTTCTCTTCTCTATGGCCCTCTTCTCAAGTCTCTCTGCTCATGAAATCTCTCCAAGCCACTAATTAATGCAACTGACTTGACAGCAGAAACATTAATGTAGGAAGACAGTGGAAAACATGACTGCAAGAAACTGGGATTGATGGATACAAAGCCAGAGGAGCCAGACCTTCTATTCCTTTCCATTCTTGGTTCAGTTACTTGTGAAACTGCAGGCTGAATTAACAGTGTCAACAACTCAGTTGATCCAAATTAAAAACTTGTACTTGCCAGCTGCCTAATTCCCAGATCCTCTTTTCCTCTGTCTGCAAGTTGTGTAATCCTTACCTGAACCAGCAATAGTGCTACCTCACAGGAAGGGAAGCCATTTCACATCACTATTATTCTAAAGCCAGGCTCAAATATCTTATATACCTTGAGAGTCCAAGGAATATTACTTCAGCTTAAATTAAGCAAACAGATGCTAGCTTTTTAAACATGAAGTGCATTTAAGTTCCAGTTTGTTAAGCCTGAACTTAAAATGACACACAGAATTATGGAGCTAACTGGGTCTGGGCTTTGGAAAGCACAGGTATGTATAAACAAAATTTTAACACAGCTTACAAAAAAAAAAATTGTCAAAGCTGAAAAATCATATTATTAAAAAAAAAAAAAATTAGAATCCAATTGGTAAGGTCTAGAGTTTGTTTGCTTTTCAGTCACTACCATAAGAACAAGCTACAAGCAAATGCCCTGCCAAGGTTCTTTAGTTGACTACATTCACCTCACTCACAGCAGTTTCCTACTCAATAGTATAATCAGTGAAGGTATGCCTCAAAGACCCTTTATCTGCAGTGAAAAGGCCTTGTCAACCACCATAAAGGATCATGAGTGAACTATGAAGGCAGGCATGACTCTTAAATCATGCCTACTTTCAGCAAAAAACATATTCCGGGTAACTTTCAGAAATACTGAGAAACTGTTGTTTCCTTTGTCTTCAAAGTACAGTCTTCCATGCCCAGCACACCAGTAACAACACCTCTAAAAATAAGCTATTAGCATGGTGGAAGGAAAAAGTAAAAACATTTTCAATGTTTGTGTTTGCTTGGCACAGCACCATTAAGAAAATCAGATTCCCTGAGTAAAGGCTGTTTTTTTGCTCCACCTAGATATTGAGCACTACAAGACATTTATTGACTTTTCAAGTAAGAAAAGTTTGTCAATTTAGAGAGATGGGTTTCTGGGGAAAAAAAACAACAAAAAACCAAAAAACAAATCCTCAAAACAAACCCCTGTTACTGAAGGTCATATTTGAATTATAAAAGTCCATGTTTTCATAACTATTTAAAGCTACAGTTTATGATTTCACAGTTAAGGGAACACTGAAGGAAAATCAAAATAGTTGATCAGTTTAGTCTCATTTTCAGAACATGGACAGTAGCACTGCCCTCTAAAAATATAACAAGTTGTAAACCTCAATAACTACCTCAGGTGTTTGGGAACCAGTAGCTGAAACACAGCAGCGTAATTTCAGTAGACACCTTTAAAGTAAGTCAACGGATATTCGATCCTCAAGCATCCCTTAAAGCATGTTTACCTGTTTACCTCTAATCTTAGTGCCTTTGTATTAAATACCACTTGAAGTACTTGTGAAATTCCATTTACTGCCAAAGCGAATGAACACTATACCTCCTGCACATGAGTCTGATAATATCGTATTTTTTTTTTACATTTCTTGTCAATATTAGAATGCACAACTGGGCATTATAGGCTTGTTTTCTAACTGGGTCACTCTAATTTTTCAAATCAACATAGAAACTAGATAGCCAAAAAAAAAATACTGCTCAGCACAAACAGAAACCTGTTTGTGGTTTCTGTTTGTTTACCTCCTGCTGGCCCAAGGAGAATATATTACAGTAAGAAGCAGAACAGTGAAAACATTGCAATTTTGTGGCCAAAGCTGTCATTCCTGGAGTTAAGGAACCAGAACTACTTCATGCTTGGAGCACACATGATGTCCAGGAGAAACAGGATTCCTACATATCACACTGATGTCTTTTTTTTTCCTCTGCAAGGGATCCAGCAATACCAGACTGTTTTGTTGGTGTTTTGTTGTTTGTTTTTTTTTTCCAATTAAGTCAGGCAGTCTTCTGACCAACTTTCATATACCAGCTGTTTAATACTAACAAAGTGGGATGTGCCAATTTAGATTATTAGTAAACGTACTAACATTTGCAATGTAGCAAACCAAAATTATGGCTCATTGTGTTAACCACTACACAAACACACAGCTTGTTACAGAAATAAGTATGTTATTATCATTTTATTTTGTTAGAGCTTTTTTTCTTTGGAAACATACACGACAAGAAAGAGAACTACAAAGCAATTTGCTACACAACATACAAACAAGAAACTAAGTTTGGCATATAGATACCACAGAATGTCTTGGGTTGGAAAGGACCTTAAAGATCATCTAGTTCCAACCCCTACACCATGAGCAGGGCTGCCCATGGCCCCATCCAACCTTGCCTTGAGTACCTCCAGCAGTGGGGCATCCACAGCCTCTCCAGGCAGCATGTGCCAGTGCCTCACCAACCTCTTGAGGAAATTCTTTTCCTAACATCTAATCCAAATCTCCCCTTTTCTATGTTAAAACTGTTCCTCCTTTTTCTATCACTATCCTCTCATATAAAAAGTCAGTCTCCCTCTAAGAAGCTGCAAGGAAGTCTCCAGAGCCTTCTGTTCTCCAGGCCAAACAAGCCCAGCTTTCTCAGCCCTTCTACACAAAGGTTCTCCAGCCCTTTTCTCATTTTCATAGTCCTCCACTGGATCCACTCCAAGAGCTCCGTATCTTTCTCGTGCTGGGGGCCCCTGGCCCAGAGGTAGTACTCCAGATGAGGCCTTGTAAGGGCAGGAATATATGGGGATAATCACCTCTCCTTCCCTCCTGGCCAGCCCTCCTTTGATGCAGCCCAAGCTACAGATGGCCTTCTGAGCTGCAAGCACACACTACTTGCTCATGTCAAGCTTTTCATCCACCAGAACTCCCCCATGTCTTCTCTGCACAGCTATTTTCCATGTGTTTTAATCTGTACACGTATCTGGGACTGCATCAACTGAGGTGCGGCACCTTGCACTTGCTGAGCCTCATTAGGCTTGCGTGGGCTCCCTTCTCAAGCTTGTTCAGGTCCACATTTATGTGTACATATGGTACAAGAGAATAAAGATTCTTATGTCTGAGGAATACAGAGACCATTCAGAGTAGGAAAGGAGGAGAAAAAGAAGTGCTTGTGGGGAACTGAGAAGAGTTCGTGATTTGATAAGGGACAAAGAAATGGAGATTAAAAGTAGGAAGTTGCAGGAAACTGATCTAGATGTGAGACTGAAGAAATTAATGAACTGAATAAATTTTAAATACAATGAAGAACACATTAAACAGTTCTTAATTTTAATAATAACTTTTAACTTTATCAGTGTTACATTTTGCCTTCAAATCACTCTATCACATTTGAGTTCTATACTAACACTTACCTCTTTTTTTGGAAAAACTCCAATCCTACCATGAGAAACATGGTTGTTTCCCTGAAATTTCTATAGTCTTGATGCCATCTCTGCATATAAGAAAGGGTATATAGAATTTCATCCACAAACATGAAATACAAATATTTTACACACTTAGTGCTGAATACCCACAGTAAGTGATAAGGACTCCTATTAAGTTTGTATGATGGAAAAGTCAGTCTGAATCCCCCCCTCTCTCAATGAAAATAAGATTCTTAAATTCCTACAATATTTCTAGATGAGTTTCAGGTAGGATTTTTATTAAAAACATAAACAAAACACAGGAATACATTACCACTTGAACTGAAAGGAACACCAGGGTTTTTTTGGAGAACCACAGTCAGAATTATGAGAATCACTACTTTCCTACCCCCTCAAAAAAGGAAAGGCTAACACTCTGTTTTTCTTCTTTCCATTACGCACAGTTCTTTACTCAAAAAGTGAAAGAAAGCTTATATATAAACTGAATATTAAATTTCATTTAAGGAAGACATAGAAAATGCCTGAACACGCTGAATGCCCTAAATGGCTTGCATAGCTTGTGGAGTACTTGAGACTGTGGCAATGCTTATGTTGGTGCAAAACATTTATCTTGCTGCATCACCACTTATACAAAGTGACTACTAATACACTTTACAGGTGACTGCCCCACGAGAAAAGAATGTCTTTTTTGCAGTTGGTTAACCAGCTTTTAATCATTAATTAATAGTTAAGTAAGGGACAACATACCATAATACATAGCCACCTACATATTCAACACAAAATGCATGAGAAAGGTTCTATGAAATGTCAGTCCCATATTGGATAATCAGTGATACAGTCCTCAGAGTAATCACCAACTATCTGCCTCAGGAAGGTGGCATGTACCTGTAAGGGAAGAAGATTCCTCCCACTCCCTTATTGCCTCAAGAGGGCAAGATTATTCCCATAGTCCTCCTGAACAAGCTGTTTTGGACCTACACACTGGTTACAATGAGGTTTAAGTGGTGCATTGGAATCTGCCCAGGATATAAATAAGGCCTTTTCAGAGGCCTTAATGAACAGTATCACACAGAATTGGAACTCATGTAATAATGACACCTACAGACTTAGCTTTAAATATGAGATGAAGTGTTTTGCTAAATATAAGTCAAACTTGTATCATGTCTGCAATTTACTCCATTCTTTTTTCAAAGTTTTTTTTAAGTATCAAATTGAAAATGTATGGTCTTAGCAAATGAAAGAACCTAGAGAAAGATGCTAGTAAGAGAATGGGAGTGGCTACAAAAAAAGCTGGACAAAAAACACAAATGTGCCCCTGAACCTTGTGACCCATTTCTCTAAATGTTTAAGGTTGGCCTTAGATCCTTTTCATTCCTTCAACTCACAGCAGTTTCTGACTAGAGAAAGCCAATTGGCTCACATGGTGTTAAATTATGAAATACTGTTAGTGATGTCAAAGCATGTTAAGGAGTATGGACAGAATCAACATTGGCATTTATCTGTGGCTCAAGTCAAATTTGAATTTGAAATTACAGATGTGGAAAAAATGGCTTTAGATCAACTGGTCAGAGCAGCTTTCCTAGAAATAAATAATGTTTCAGGAACTTGTTTCATCTTCTCAGTGTAGGACAAAAAGAAATTTGCTAAGATAAACTCAACTTACTGATAATTATTTGAAGTTACAGTTTAACTTACAGCATAAGAAATACTGACCTCATATTCCTCCATGTTTACTTCATCCGGCTTTATCATTTCAAGCTTAGCTTGAGCAACCTTCATTATGTTACGGCACCTTATAAAAAGCCACAACATATCATGAAAGAGAAATTTTCAAAAATATCATCTATACAAAAACAGCAAACTCAAGCAGTTTAGAGTACAGCCTTACACAAAACAGCATGGAAACATTGTGAAAAATCTGCTTTCTACTATGCCCTGCATAATCAGCAGAAGGCATACTTTTCTAGTACATGTGATGCACAGCCATGCCATTTAAGAATTACTTCCTGTTTTACTAACTAAACTGTTGCATTACTCTTTTTTTTCCTGTTTTTTCAAATTTGAAGTTCAGGTGGCTTGAAGCTCCCCAACTCTCACTTTGTGAAAATAATATTAGAGGATTAGAACCAAACATTTAACAGCTGTCAGGAGTCAGACTAACACTCTCTACCTGTCATTTTTTTATTTTGTTTTATAAGTATATGAAATTTCAAGTATAGAAGACATCGTCTTGCATTCAAATAAGTTATTCATCTAGTCTGATGTCTCATTTTAAGAGATGTCAGGCTTTGTTTTCTACTGCTGAGCTTTGGGCCACTGAAGAAACAGAGATTTCACAGCCTTAAGTGCTCCAAAACATAGATACAGAGAACTGAATACAATTAGGAGCAACACTAAGGATTTTTCTTTACTTCCTACCAATAAAAACCCAACTTCTTGTTTATTCTTTTTATAGAGATTTTTATAGAGATTAAAACTTTTATAAAATTATTCTTCTACGCATTTTATACTTTCAAGCTATTAACTAGAAGATAAAGCCAAACGTACAAGCTGTTCTTCTTTCCTCTACATGCATATCTGAATATAAAAGTGTCTTTACACAGAACTCACACAAACACAGGAAGAGAGACATGCTGATCTTATTACCTTTCATCAAAGCTAAGATTGTGATCTCCAAACTGTTCCAGTAACGTTCTCTCAATTATCTTCTTTGGTGCCTGGTTTTGGATGAAGTAAACTATTGCATGACGCAAACGGTAATCACATTCAGGTGGTGGATCTTCCTGGGCTAATTTTAGCAGACGCGTATATTCCAACTTAATTGCCTACATAATTTTAAAAACATACGTTATTCTTTCTGGCTTTTAACTCAGCCTTTTCAGATACTAGGAATAATTCATGTCCATGGCCCACTGACTACAAAAGAACTTTAACAATTCCATATCCGACCCTTCTAAACAGTCTGAACTACAGTAAAAAAAAAAAAAAAAAAAAACAAATGGCAAAGCTGCTCCTGCCTCTCCCTAACCAGGGCTACCAAAACCCCAAGTGGACCTGTACTTCAAAAGCAATCCCAGTCCTTCCCTATATCACCCTGAGAGAAGGTTTATCTGGTCCCTAAAGAGGGACATTACGCATGAACTGTCCTGAAGCAGTATAACAGACATTTCATTTTAAGGATTTTTCCAGAAGTACCCCTAATACATAGTTGAAATGCAAATACACAAATAAATTATAGGTAAAGTTTAATGAACGTGTGAGATATTGAAAACAGTAAGTCAGAATGGAAATCATTGTACAATAAAAATCGAGTTACATGATTTCTACAGAAAATACTTCAATATGGTCAGTGTTAGCCTCCCATAAGGCAAGGACAGACTCCTCACTATTTTAGGCCAACTTTAGAGCTTATAGGAAGAGATTCCTTTGTCAGCACATTAGATTTTAAGAAATCTCATCTGTTATGTTCATTAGAAATTATCCATTGAAACTACACAACACAACCAAGAGCAACAAGAAAAATAATTAGAAAAATGGTGACAAATCTTAATATACTCCATAATTTCTCTCTCAAAATACGCAGGTGATCAAACTGCTGGCTAACGTTACTACCAATTTGAAACAAATAACCTAACACAGCAGCTTCACACATTAGTAGTTTCAATACCACATACAGACAAAATAAAGCTACAAACCAGGCAGAAAATGCCCTATTCAATATTACAAATCTCTTTATGCCTCTACCTGGCAGTAAAATATTTCTTTACATTTAAATATTGGAAATTTGGGCTACTGAACTTTACCAAGAAATGCTGTGTTTTGAGACTGAACACATGAATAGGATACTATTCATGTGGACTTAAACAGAGAGTGTGTGGAGAACTTCAAAACTTAAAAGAACATTCTGCATTCATATTCATATTTTTACATCCTAATGATATGTATTATTATTAAAAAAGAGATTTGGAGAACCAATGATAATTATCAAAAGTCACACATAAGTGTTTCTATTATCTTGCATCATAAGACATTCTACCATTAGAAAACAGACACAGATAACGAAGTTACTAAAGCCGCTTTTCTGAGGTTGGCACAAAACAAAAAGCTATTGCTATTTTGCATTTAATTCTTCAGAGAATTACTCAAACAGGAAAAAGGCAAGAAAATCTAGATTTTCAAATACATATTTAGAAAAAAGTCAAACGTTATGCTACAGATTCATGAATTCTATATACTGAAAAGAAGAAAACTAAACCAGTATTATTCCTTTCAACAAAATACAGGAAGAAGTATAATAAGCTTTAGGATTCTCACTAAGAATTATATATAAAAATCTTAAGGCAAACATACTGCAAGGAACGGTGAATGAAGTTTAGATAAATATGACTGATCAATAAAGATCTTAGCTGCTTTGCAATAGGTTAAGTCTGAAGTCTGAGAGGTAAAGTAGGAATCAAACTTGGGCAGTAACAATGACCCTCATTAATTGGGTTTTACCTGCATTACACTTCAATAAGGACATCATAGAAATAAACCTCAGTCTTTTGTAAACACTTGTTATAAAAAACAAACACGTGAACAAAACCAGAGCATAGCAGTATAAAAATATCACAGAATCTTTCTGATAGTAATTGTAAGAAATAGGAGGGGTTTTCACCTCATACATTTCAAAATATTAAACTTGGTACTAAGTAGAATCACTTCATCTGCGAACATCCAGACTAATAATGTATTACTAAAAATGTAGCATGTTTCAGCAGTGCTAAGTTGCTTTGAACAGGATTCAGCAGAAAGTTGAGTAAGCAGACTTCTACTCTCCAACAACTTGGTTTAGTTTTAAAAACACTTTCTCAAAGACAAATTTTGCCCCTAACCTCCACACTTCCACTGAGGTTTTCATCAGGAAGCTTTCATCATCAAAACACACTTCACATTGAAAATAAGTAAATCAATCAGTGTAATTAACCTTTCCAAAAAATGTCTGGTTTGATAAGAGCAGCATGGGTTTTTTGTTTTGTTTTTCAATTAAAACAGCTTGTCATTAAGTGAGAAATTCAAAAACCCAGCACTGAATCCCAAACAAAACCCATTTCATTAAATAAAGGCTATGGCAGTTGTCTCTTCGATGCCTGACAGTGGGCATGTTTAACAGAGACAAATGCAACATGGTCATAACACTTCACAAAATATCCATTAAAAAAAAAAATTAAAAACAAACAAACAAACATAAGATTTAAATTTTTCCATTGCAAAGGATTATAGAGGTGGTTTGAGGTTTTTTTTTTTTTCCTTTGGCCTTTTTTGGGAGGGAGTTTCAAATGTTTTCTTTCAGTATAACTGTACCATAAAAATTCAATAGAAAACAGTGCTACTGAAGGACAGGCAAGAAACTTTTTCATCTCCTCCAGCAGATAAAAATAAAGCATCATATTTGAGAGGATTCTACAACATGTCAAAGTAATTCCCTTTTTTATACTCTGAAAACTCAAAAAGTTACAAGCTAAATTGTTCAGAAGTTTGTGTATTTAATAAAACTAATGCATCTTTCAATCTATTTAGTGTGTAGACTAACAAACACAATGAGTGTAACATCCAATTCCCAGTAATAAAACTCTGCACAGATAAACTGTATTGACATCAAAACAAAAGAATATGATTTTGATCTACTAAAAAATCTTTTAAGGACAACACAAGAACATTTCTGTTAATATGACTAAACAAAAAACAAGTGACTAAACACTGGTGTGCCTTGGTGAAAACACTGAAGTCCCAAACAGTCTTTGTTAACATAACACTTTTTGTTATGAACAGGGGAAAAAAGTAAATATTCTTATTGATTACCCATCCAGGTTTCTTGCTACTTGTGGCTATTATTAAGAAGTAAAATAGAAAAAGATATGTAAGCTTTTGAATTCAAGGCAGCACATTGCTAAATGAAGATGGAAATAGCTACAGATATTGCTCCCTAGCAGAGATTGTAATTTAGTAATATTTAAACGGAAGACTGATGCCATAGAAGAATACTTATATATGCTGGAACAGTCTTAATATGCATTGAAGGGTGGAGGAAAAAGGTATATCTAACAAAAAAAGTCAGAGAAAAAATTGAAAATGTTAGTTGTACCTTAAAGAACCCTGCTTCTGGCCCACACCTGTCATAAACATTCCTGGCTTTACCTATAGCCATGATAATACCTTGCATGTTCGGGGTCAGCATGACCTGCCATAAGGGATTTAAGGTAAAAGTTTGGAATGATTAATATTTTGAGTTTTAAATTCAATATGCTTTTAGTCTCATGCAAGATAAAAAAGCAACTTAATGCATGCATACACTGAAACGGCACGTTTCAATACAAAAACCATTGTGCGTGTTCTGCAAATCAATCACGGCATGTGTATACACTTCTACTGCAAAACATACGACTTAAAGGAAGCTTAACAAAAACTGAACGAGTGTGTCAAGTACAATTTGAAAAGTACATGGTCAAAACTTCCAAGGAAAGGAGCATGCACTGGTTCAGCATTAGTATCCATCAGGAATTTCGTACTGGCTGAATGCTACCACATGGCCACCAAAGGATAAAATAAACTGCTTCAGATAATCATCCAATCACACTTCATATACACTAGACACAAACAAATGAACTACACTTCGTGTATTGCATACATATTTCAACATCAAAGTAAATGGACTCACTGCTACAATCACAATTGGTTCCAGAAGCATTTCCAGACGAATTTTTTAAATAAAACCAAAACATTTAACAAACACAAAACCAAACATAACACACACATCTCACAGCTACTCACATCAGTTAAGCACAAACAATATGATACCTGCAGGATACTCAGACAGGCCTTTTCTCTTTGATATCTGTGAGCAAGGAAAAACATTCCTTCCTTCCCTGCCCACAGTCTAGCTAACACAATTGGCACAGCAACAAAAGCTGGCCTTAAAGACAAGAAGATGAAGAGCCCTAAACCCTCCAGAAGAGTTTCCCCACACATAAGAACAGTATTAAAAAAGCAAATATGCTTACAAAAGAAACAGTAAAATTATGCAGCAAGTTAGCACCCTCTGGAAAAGGAGTGGCATGTGGACAAGAGTGCCTCAAAAATGAAAAAAGGCACATCTTTAAAGGTAGAGACTGCACACTTGTGAGAAGACTCAGTGCGATGATGGCATTTAAATCATTTTATCATCCCCCACTCTTAGTTGAATTGCTGATAATTATGGGACAGAACTTCCTGAAATATCCTTTTATGCACCAAAGCAAAAGCTTCTCACTGCCCACCAATAACACATGCCCAGATAGCCAAGAATATGGGCCGCATCAGATCTAACCCCAAACCAAAACAAACACGGAATACGCAGCGTTAAGGCAGAACTGACCCTGGCTGTGCTGCTTTCTGTTGTTAAAGTAGGCCAGAAGAAAGTACTGTTTCCTGCAAGAATGAGATTCTACCATCTGTTCCTCAAATAGTATCAGGGACACTTACCACTCTGGGTCTGAACTGCAAAAAACCCAACAATTTACTTTTTTAAGCTTGGGAAAAAAGTCACTTCCAGCACTCATATCAATTTCAGATTATTTGTGTGGATAACTAAATCCTCAAAGTCTAAAAAGCTTTAACATTGGCAAATAAAAGATTGGACTTGAACATTGCCTTTATTAGACTGACAAGAAAGCACAAACATTAACAACACCACTCTCTATCCTGATATTCTTAAAATAATGCAGTAGTCCACAGGCTACCACTAGCATTTCAAGGATTATCTGGCCTAGCACAAACATTCAACTTCCACAGCTAAAAAGACAAATATACCTCCAGTGTACACAGCACCATGCAAAGCGTGCCCAATTAGAGTAGCTAGTGCTTTCCTTTCATACTTCATTACAAATTAAGACATCGCTACGGTTACGAATTGCTAAGCATATCGTTATGCACAAATTTGTTAGGTGTCATGATGTGCAAACATGCCAAAAATTCTCATCAGGCAGCACAAGAAAGCACCAAGTAGGAGCGGTGCACACAATTGCAATCAAATGTACCTCATCGTCATAACCCCCCTCCTCTGACTCAATCACAAAAGTCCCTACATCAGGAATCGCCACCTCTACAACTCGCTGGTTAGGAGCTGGTTGAGCTGAGGCATTATGAGAGCTCTGCAGAAGAAAATTATGATCAGTATGTGTGTTGGGAGGGGGAATCACACAGCAGAGAAAATCACAAGCTAACAGGCTGATCAAATAAAATGAAATGCACTTTAGAAGTACATTTCTGACAAAAACGATGAATATATATTCTCTAGTTATTTACAGTTTACTTTAAGTAGCACATTTTACAATTAAAATAGAATTATAAAAAAAAAATCCTTTTTTCCTTTATTCACTAATTACATCTTCATAGGCTAGTATGCCACTATTGCAGCTCTGCAGCAACAGATTCAAAGCATTTTTAAAAGGATGAGTCTGTGAACCACCATTTCTTTTCATATTGTCATATCCTCCACCAAAAAGTTACTAAATATAACCAAGGTATCTGAAGAATTCATGCTAAGAAATGGCAAAAAGTCAAAGGCTAACATTTTCTGATGCACTGGAAAAAAACACAAAAAGCCTCTAGCAATTAAAGTATTAGAAAGAATATATAAAGGTGGGTTACACTCAAAAGGTCTGTTTTTTAGAGAAATAACTGCACAGAGATACAAAGGAAGATCGTGTTAGTCACTGAAATTCTTATGTTAACACAAGCTTGTAAAGAACGGAGATGATTTCAGCTACTGCAGTCTATCATTTTATGATCGCCAGTTTACAACACTTGCAGCACTTCATCTCTAATCTAAGCAATCACGGAGTGCAGAAAGAATTCTGTGCTGCTGTTCTACAGCAATCATAATGGCTTTATTTTCTAAGAAAAATTCCAGAAACGCACACAGTATCCATTTACACCACCCAGCACTGCAGAAATACAAAGGAAGACTGCAGAGAAACAAATAGAAAGAACAAAGGGCAGAAAATGGACACAAATGATCATGTGGCAAGTAACCAATAATTCTGTTGTATGTTCTGATGTTGTTTTTCCTTTTTCTAAAATGGACAAACAAAAAGTGGAGGAAATGTGACTGCACATCAGAATGAAGATGAAAGTAGAACAATTAAAGAGTATGATGATACACTCCAAAGGAAGTATAGTTCTATCTAATCTAAATTCAGGTAAACAGAGGGTAGCTCTTATCCATTAATAGAGGTGCCTCAGATTACCTAGGAAGCAGCTTTATATTTTAAAAGCATAATGTCTCTAAATAAGAGAGTTTGTGGGATTTTGGTTTGTTTTTGTATTGTTGGGTTTGTTTTGTTGGTTGTTTTATTGTAGGTGTTCTTTTTTTTTTTTTTTTTTTTTGCTTTTGAAGAACCATTCCCTTCGTTGCAGAACAAGGCAGTAGAAATCAGAATAACTGGGGTAAGTAGGCCTGTATCTGCCTCACTCAGCAGTTTCCCAGCCACTATCTTGCAAAGATCTAAGGTGATGATTGTATACAACACTGAGCCTAAACAGAGAAACTTGATCCATGGAATCAGGTTTCTAAGATTCTTCCAAATCCCACCAGAAGGATACCCAGAGACCCTAGAAAGAGGATAGCATCAGGCAAGACATTTTATCCCAACCTGGATATTCGCATGGCTACTCCCTCAGAGATCATCCATACTATCACAGAGCTAAGTATAGGAGGCATTAACATAAGAGGTAACTCATATTAAACAGGCTCCCATTTCACTGGTCTCTGCTCTGAGAACTCAACAAAGCCAAGTATGCAGTAGCTTAAATTATTAGTGGTAGAGTACATCTTAACATATGATTAATTTCCCTGCTGGTTTTGATTTTGATTTAGCAGAGAAAGCATGCTCCTTTGTTCTCCTCACACCACAGGAAAAAGGGATAGAATACATTTCAGGTAGAAAAGTTAACAAGTTGTCACATAATTTTCAACAGCTTTAAAAAATTTTCCTGCTGGCCCCAAAACTATCTGGGCCCAGACTGCTTTTGTTTAAAGAGAACACGTACCAGAATTTAGGAAACATATTTGAAATTTTGAGCATATCTAAATTGTTTGTATCGCTACGTATCACTATTTGTTACTAGCTGTGTCCAAAGAAGCCATACTATACATTTCGCATGTCTCATTCCATGGCATATGGCTCCAAGTCAGACAAATATATCACTTTAAAAGGTACATTTTTTTTCTGGCAAATATATTGGCTATTCATATACAGAAGCAAGACACACTTGCTGAAAGAAAGAACTTAAATGTTTCTCTAGCAGCTCATGAAGCAGTTAATTTCCAATTTCCAATCAGTATTTATTCAGACATGAAGTGAAAACAGTATCACCCAACAGTAATTCTTATTAGCATTATAACATATACATCTGCTTAATCACAAAGTTAATTTTCACAAACTTGTAATTTGCACTAAAACTACAGAATACTGCTGAAATAAGAGTTTTATCATATTACAAATTTTTTGACCATTTTTGAACTTTCTTCCATAAACATAATATTCAGAAAAAACTCTATTTGAAAGCTATTTTAAATTCCATAGCTCTTTCAAGATAACTCACATTCTCAAATTGCTCTGGTAAAAATCAATGTTTAAAACAGCATTTCTCAAGTCGTTTATATGGCATGTCAATGTTAACTCCTCAAAATAAATTGAGCCACCTAACATTTTGAAAAGTTGTTTGATGGCGGGGCAGAAATATGATTGTCATCTGATCAATATACAGCACTCTCAGCAAGTACTTCCATCACAGAGAGTACACCTACTTACAGTATTTTACTTCTATGTTCATTGACATAGTATACACTTTCTGGATGGATTTGTAGTGTTCAAGAGGCCCTGAAGAACAAATATATTTTCACTCATTTTTGTTTTTCCTCCCCTCCCCTTCACCTTTGACCAGCTATCATCCTTTGCACTTGCAAAATAAAAGAGTTACTTCAAGCTTAAAAATATCCTCACCGTATCCATTATAGCTTCTGGACTTCTATCTTCTTGTTCAGCTAAAGCTTTATTGATCGCTTGTACAGAATCTTCTTTTAAGTGCTTTGAAAGATCAGTTCTTGATGGCTGTTCTAAATATTCTGGTTCTCCTGCTTGAACTTAGTGACAGAAATAAGATAATTCCATACGTTAACAGAAGCATAAACTCTAAATTCAGCAGTTTTATTTGGATCATCATCTCACAGATAAGGTAACCCACACACAAGATGCAGGTAGGTCACATCATTCACAGATCCAACATTTCGTCAGTCTGTGCCTTATGACATTTTGAACATTTTCATACAAATTGACTCACAATTTTACATTAGGAACAATGACACCTGCACTGACTAGAGATCATTAAAGCTTGAGTAAGGGATGATCAATCATGTTAGGGACAACTGAGAAAATAAATGAGCATCTATGTAGATTTTAGTAGTACACTAAATGATCTGCAGACAATTGAATTCCAGATATATTTTCACTTTGCAAAATAATCACGAAATAAAAAATGAGCACAAAACTGGGAGAGAAAAGGCGAAGATAAAGAAACAGAAGACAAAAAAAAATAAAAACTAAAATTCAGTTACCTTGGTCAAGTAAATAATTAAAATTCAAGATTACACAAATTAATACTTCTTCCCTTTTTAAGCAGCTAAACAATTTATATGCAAACCAATGATTTTTCATTCTATTCCTTTTACAAACAAGCAGAAACAGCTAACCTGGAGCAGGTGAGGGTGCTGGAGCTCTGGGAATCTGAGATAGCAATTTTTCCTGCTGTGCTTTCTGAGCAAGTTCTGCATCCCATTCTTCAAGTTCTTTTTCAAAACGTTTATTGTCTTCCTTAACATAATCCCTTAGATCAGAAGGTAGTGTGTCCATTCCTACAAGTACCTGCCCCGTTTCTTTGTTAAATTCCTCTGTAGTAAAATACAAATTATATTTCAGACAAAAAATAGGGAGAAAAAAATAGATGTTAAATTTTCTCAAGGGAATTACTTAAAGCATGTAATACTACATCAAATCTCCCAAACTGTCTTACTTTTAATTTTTCTCAACATTTATTGGGCACTCTTCTACTAATAGAACATATTGCTATTGCTCTTTCAATCTTTGGACAAATTCTCAGGCATCATCAGATCATTACTACTCTGAACAATAAGACTTCTGGACCTCCAGAGGTCCCTTTCAATCCCTATGATTCTGTGATAGTATATCAAGTACTGAAGGATTAATCAGCTTTAACTGTTCCCCCAGGAAACCCACCTCCAAATTACTACAGAGCTCATAAACCTGATAGCTGCAAGTCTACCATTAACCTGGTAGCATAGAATCATCAAGGTTATTATCAGTTTTCATTTAAAAACTGAACAAATGCACATTCTAGCATTTAACTCCATGAATAAACTGGAACAAAGTTTTCAGTCATCTGTTACTGAGAGTGAGGAAGTACTGTAACAGGCTGCCCATAGAAATTTTGAATGCACCTGGAGGTTCTTAAGGCCAGGTTGGATGGGTCCCTAGGCAATCTGATCTAGTACCTGATCTAGCGGCTGGCAATTCTACCTGTGTTAGGGGGGCTGGAACTTGATGGTCCTTGAGGTCCCTTCCAACCCAAGCCACTCTGTGATTCATTCTACAGTTCTATGAATCTGGCCATTTTCAATCAGACTCCTAACAAATGTTAACAGGGCCTATAAATATCATACTAAGGAACTTTCCACTCCCTCCCAGTATTTTCACAAGAGCCTTATAATCACATATAACTACATAACCTGAAAAAAGAAAAATCAAAATCCATACATTTCTTTAGTTTAACATATGGTTGGTGGTAGGTCTATATAGGGATATATTTCAATACCCTGCAAAAAGTGTGATGTTTCCACTCTCCAATAAAGTTCATGTGAGTCCCAAAGCTTATGAAGAAAAGATTTTAATGTCAAGGATCACTTTCCATTTCCTTATTTCTATTCTACTCTTCAGGAGATAACCAAAACACTTTGCATATGATGATCCAAAATCTTCAGAAATTAGCAAACTTAGTTAATTTTGCTCTCTTAATAATACAGGAACACTGCAATTATCTCTATTAACCTGAAAATTGAAAATAAATTATTTAATCTGTAGAAGCAATTTCACTGACAACTGTGACTGTAAACTGAATTTTCAATAATTTTTAAAGCCGTTTCGAAGATCTGGAAATCCACCAGGAAAATGCTCTTCTTGTAAATGCATTCAGTAATTCTATATCATGCTGAAAACATAAGCATTACGTTACCTTCTATCAAGTACTGTTCCTTATCATTGATATACATCAAACAGTATGCACTGGCATTCCTGTAACCACCAAAAGAGTCCCGTTCCAACTCTTCCCAAGTTGACTTTGTCACAGAAATGTCATTGTACTTCATCCATCTGTTCTGATGGTGGTCATAAATATATGCCCAGTAATGTCCTGCATTGGCTTGACCTTCATGAACCAACACAGCATGCAATCTATAAGGAACCTAAGAAAACAAACAAAATATCATCAAACTGTCCTTGTCAGCATTTTGTTCTGACTATCCATCAATAATAATTGCTACATTAAAAGTAACAAAAATAAACCGGATCAAAATATGACAGCGAAAAACCAAAAAGCTAAAATCAGCAAACCATTATGCAAAATAACTTTGAGTTATTTGAGTTACCATTATGAGCTAAAAGCTTAAGCACATGAGCAAGCCTGCAGAAGGAATGTCTGCTCTGCTATCTTTACTGCAAGACAACCTCTTCTGTTAATTTCTTAAATATTCGTACTGTTCTTGTATCTCTAGAAAGAGACTAAGTATGTCAGTCTTGCGCATATACAGTTTGTTCCAGTTCTGACCCAATAACTTTATTCTCAATTTTGTAAGGTATATGTGAATTCAAGGTAATAAACTTCATGCTTTCTATGTGCTATAAAGTGATTTTATTTAAAGGAGTAACTGGGACTTTTAGTACTTCCATTTCCAAAGAGTAAAATTCTTCCAGTGAAAATTACAACTGTTCTTCTCGTATGTCAAATGTATCATTACAGCACTGCAAAGAGAAGGCTGGAGCACATAAATAGATCCTCTCTTTATCCTCCTGCAGAGAAGGAAGATGATTTTTTGGACCACTGTAAAAAGCATCACATGTTACACGTGCTCATTGACAAGTAAGAGGAATGAAATACTCAGCTCCTACTTAAGTCATTGGAAATTTGAAGAACAAAGAGTAGAATGAGTGCTTCCTTACTTAGAAGCTTTTTATAAGTATCTTAGTGATTGGCCTGTTTTAACCTCCTGAAACAGTACATGCAACATAATAGAAAAAACTAATCTTCCCTGCTATGCCTGAATGATAGCAGCTTAGCTAGGGTGAAAAACCTGACAACTTTTATTGCAGTAAAAGTCTGTATTGTGGATAAAACAGCTACTTAAAAAGCTGCAGTAATTTATTTTTTTTAATTTCATTTAAGCACCAAAGTAATCAGTAAACCATAAATACACATCCAACTATGACTTAAACTCCCTGAAGTTATTTTTTACCTCATTATTCTTTTTCAGACTATATGGAAATGCTGAAGATTTTGCAACCGCCTTTGAACTGTAAAGCTGGCTGACTGCACTGCAGCTGAAGTCAAACAGACTGTCATCCCAGAGACCAAACCACACTGTAAATCTCTCAAACCCAAGAAGAAATTCAAGCAAGTCCTTAAATCTGAATGTGCTGAGGGGGGGGGTTAACATCTAATCAAAACCACATGAAAGTTCTCTTAAAGAGATTGCCAGTCTGTGCACATGCATATAAATATACGCAGATCTTGATTAAAAATGGTAAACCAAGTCTCCTGAGACTTCAATAATAAAATTTCCTCATTATAAAACAAAACAGTACAATCCCGGGTGAATTTAAATCCTTTTACTTTCCTCCAGCTCTGGAGGGCTGACTGGCAGTCATCCATGCTCAGTTTCCAGGCATATGCTCCCCAAAAGTCTGTGACTGAGGGACAGGCAAGTTTGATACACACAGGCATCTCTTACAGTGTGCCATATACCAATGACAACTAAAGGCTGAGGGCAACAGACCAAATAAACAGTCTGCATTAAGCTTCATAGCTTACACTTACTACTTACGAAACAGAAATGGAACTTCAATACCCTCTTCACACGCAGTTACAGAACAGATATATCAGGGCAACAAAACAAAACAAAAAGAACATACCCCAAACCAAAATAGCAGCCTGATGGAAAAAATTATGAAAACCAGAATGGCATCCTTGCAATGCTAACAATACGACTGACAAGAAGAACACTTCACAGTATGCATCACTGGCCAGCTTAATATTTTAAGAGTAGGAGGATAAGAAACAATACATTCTTAGACGAACAACATTTTCAAATGGTAATTGTGACATCTTAGATTGTATGACTTTACCTGATCCAGTTGACAGTGACAGTTACATGTCTGAATGGCAAAACCAGCGAAAGGGGATAAAGCTACCGGTCTCAGCATCTTCAGTGAATAGTCACTATAGCAAACCTTTTCACCATCACAAGCCAACTTGGGTGTATTTTTTCCTTTTTGGTTTCTACGTTATCAACTTCAAAAATAGAGGGGAACGTTCGTTCTTTAAGATATGCACAGTAACCTATCATACAGGTTATTGCTAAAGACATCTGTGGTATCAGGGCAACAACCACCGATGTCAACTCTGAACTTTAAATACAACAGTATTTTTTTGTTCTGGGAAAACAAGCTATGAAGCTTTCTTTAGTACAAACTGAGACTAGATGTTGCTTCTCCAGCACCAGCTGGCACCTTATTTTCCCCCACAGCACATTCATGGAAGGAAGAAAACAAAAGCGGAATGAAATAAGCAGTTGATAGAGTCTATCCATTCAGGAGGACGAAGCAAAATAAGGAATTTATGTCACAAAGGGAATATTTAGCTATTGAACCTGTCTGAAATCACACACTGGAAGTGAAAGTTACTCTTCTGCAGCTCAACTTTTTCATTTGTATGGGTACTTTGGCACAACAGCAAAGAAGTGAGTGCATATAGCAGTCTCCTTTCCTTTGACTCACTATATATCTGACCAACAGGACAGCTTAATATTCTTCCATTCCCTTGGAGAAGATTTGCAGTATTGATCTTCTCCTCTAAATAATACAATTACAGGAAGAGCTTTTATTTTTGAGTCAATAAGGTCTGGAAACACAAAACTAGACTCTTTAAGGAAAATATTTCTATTTGCAGAATACATAAGAGAGCATATATGAACTTCTTAAGAAGCTCCTTATTTTCTCCTCATGTTTTCCTTCTATTCTAAGGCAACAACAGATGTCCAGAGACCCTTTTAAAAAAAGGTCCCCTAACAATCACTTAGCAACATACATCGCTGCTTTCAGGTGTGGCACAGAAACATCCTCTGCAGAACTACATCTTCCTCTATTTATGGAATTTTCTTCTCTTTTTTTTTTTTTTTTATAAAATAAAATAAAATCTACAATTATGTACTAGAAAAAAAGTGTTTTACTGAATAATCTAATTTTTCCAGTGTAATGACTGCTGACGTATCCTTGTTATAGGACAAATACATCCAAATGTGTTTCCTCCTATGAAAACATAAGCCAACAAAGGCTATCTAACTGGGCATGAAAACAATAAATTTCTTCATTTTAGTGTTAGATTACATAGACTGTAGCCTTCCAGTCACAAGTATTGCTAAAAAATAAAAAGCCTGCCAGTAACAAGATTAAAGAAGGCCATCTTACAGAGTCTGCTTGAGAATCTTAGCAGCAGAGTTCAGCTGCCACATACAAGCTGTGTACAAAGTGAAAACACATCTCAAGGAAAAATAAGATGAACAGATCTAACTTGGAAGGACAACAGTTCTTGCTACTAACAGAAAGTAGCAGAGGAAGTAAGCTTCACCCTTAAACATGTTTAAGAGAGTGAACATGAACATGTGAACACAAGAAATGCTACAGGAGCCACAGTTCCAGAGTAAAGCATTCTAAAATTGCTATTTTGATTACAGAGCAGAAGAATTGCCCTAAAATTCTCCTTAGATTAACAAAACAGACAAAGGAAAAACACTAAAAAACAAAAGAGTCATGTTGGCATTAACTTTATTATTATTATAACTCCATTATTAACTAAAACCAGGAGCTGTAAATTCCCAAATCTCAGTATAGAAGTTGCAATTTGCAGTGGCAGTAAACATTGAGTATAAAGCATAAGAAAATAATAGTTTTGTCACCATAAGGAAATGACACTACCTAGCAAACAGGTTGAATTAGGGTGAGAAAATTCTACTGTTGTATAAAAACTAAAGTTCTGCTCTCAAGTCAAAAGACCTGATGGAACCTACTTTGGTTTTTCATCACAAAGTTGCTAAAACTTACATACATCATGTTATATGCACCTCATGTCATATGTAAAATACTGCAATGTTCTCTTTCATCTGACTGTGCATAATCAGGAAGCTTGCAAAACCCACTAGGATGTTCCATGAGATTTCTCAAGCCACTGCATGTAATAGTTGTATACTTGCTCACTTCTCAAGCATCTAAGAATTTTAGTAGAAGTGACAAAAACATCTACTTATCTGATACAGAAAACATACTTACTTGGATCATTGTTTTGTCAAAGTACATCAATTCAATTGTTCGATGTATTCTAGATATACTTTCTTGTAAATCTAAAAAGAAAAATAAGAATACAAATTCTGTTCTATTAGGCTGCATAATGTGTCAGGCTACATCTTTATTTTTTCTCATAAAAGGCTCAAACAAAGCTACATCTCACATTTTCTGCATCTGCTTAACTACCTATTGGCCAAACACCAAATCTCAAATGAAAGCAGACAATGATTTGTGATCCATTACTGCTCATTTCCTAAAACTCAACTAACTCCACCTCCACTGGAAAAATTACTTCATTAGTTTTCCCCATGGCATCAAAACGGACCATAAGGTCTATCCATTCAAAAAAGATTTTGCTCAGAAATGAGCTAAATTCTTCCTCGCTAAAGGGGCTACTCTGCCTTAAACACCTCTGCAGAATGTCAAGTTACAATGCAGGCCCAGCCCAATATCACTGTGACAGCTAGAACGCATTTGCAGACGGTCCTTCAGTGTAGATTCCACTTTCGTTTTGCTCTCTCCATTACCACGCACACAGAAACCTTTAATAGAACATCAATGCATACTACACTCAATGCCCAGCATCTCCAGTTTACACGCTGCCAGTCTACTGAGATGTGTAACTGACTTCCCTTCCTACGTCCTAGAAGCAATTAGAGAAGTATGAAACAAACAACTCATCACACACACAGACATTAACACTAGTTCTCTCCCTTCCAAATTCTATAAATCCTTTCCAACTGCAACTACATTCTCCAGGTTGTGGCAATACCTCTAGTGTCGTTTTCTACTTCCGTCCTCCAGCGATGCAGGCAGCCTTCTAAGACAGAAAGCTCTTCTTCAGTGATGTGCCTGGGTGCTGGATGCATTGGCAGATCAGGAGGAATTCGTGATTGTGTGAATGGTTTATGTATTACAGATCTTTGTACAGGTGATGTGCTTGGAACATCTGAAGAAGAAGGCCCCTGCTGCTCTACTGCGCTGCATTCATTCAGAACATAAAATACCAAAACTAAATCAGCAAGTACACAAACTATATAATTATATAAAAACTATAAAAATAAGATTTTCACTCAAATAGAAACATTTTAAAGGTAATTACCAACAGAGCAATCCAAAAAAGGCACTGAAAATATCAATGCAAAGATTACTTTATAATGGCTGGAAACTTTGTGATGTACACGTTAGCACAATGATGACTGTGGTTGCTATTATCAAAGATAAAGGAATTGGATCAGTCAAGCCACAGTTTGCTTTACTTGAAATACTATTCAACACTTTCAAATAATGTCACAAAAGTAATTACTGTAGTTTAAAACATTTACTGCTAAACTGCTGACAGAAGAGTTACAGCAACTTGGGTTTTGGCCTATTGACTGTAAAATCCAATAAATTTAGTTCTTTGTTTAACAACTTTTTCATGCCTTATACCTAGCAGGCTTTCTTTTTCTGATCACCTAGCTAGAGCACATGTTAACTGAAGAGCAACAGCGAAAGTACCTCTAATATTTAGTATCAAACCATCTGAACTTGTTTCCAGCAAGTCTTGTAACTCAAAGTGGCCAACATAAGAAAACTGTACGAAAGCAGCAGAACTTTAAAAAATTGTTACAGATTTTTCTGCTCCCATTAAAAAAGATGGTGTTTATGCAATCCTAGGCAGAACATGAATCTGAAGATCTTCCTAGCAATCCACTACTTATTTATGTTTGGTATTGCACCATGATAAAGCCTGAGGAATCTGGAGTCTTCAGTAGCTGAGAAAGTTGACAGAACATTTAGAGATGTCACCCCATGTAATGTGTTCACATTTCTACAGGCTGGCAAAAAAAAAGTCAAAGTATTTGCATTTTTACATAACAAATTTTCTACACAGGAATTCAAAGTATAGTACTCTTGACGTGGTATGTCATGCAATCATTAGTATCTCTCAACACTTTTCTAATCAATTGACAGTAGTTATATCAGCATTATATTAGTAAGATTAAAAAAAAAATTTTGAAAGCTTTTCAGACTAATTTTCTTCACTTCTCTGAAGTACTAATGTAAACACTTTGACTGAACTAGAACTTAGAACCCTATTTTCAGAATGCAAAATAAAGAGCTCTGTTAGAAATTGGTAGTGTCCACCTATTCTAATTGATACCTTTATTAAGTTATATTAAGTATATATTAGTATAAAATATAATAAATAAATAAAATATTATATTAAGTATATATTAGTAATACTTTATTAAGTATTACTAACAGTTTCTAGCTGCAACAATGAGAAGAATAACATAAATGGACATTTATCTCCCTAGTACTATGGCTATTATGAATTTAAAAACTCAATTCAAAATCTCAGTCAGAAATGTAAGGAGCCAATGAGAAAAGTTTAAGTCTTAGGCAAAAGTAAAAGAAAGTCTACACCAGAAACCTGGAAGCTCTGCAGCACATACATACTGCCCAAATTCAAATTGTTAATACATTCCACCTGGGAAACAGTAACTTCACCAAATATTGTGATTGTTTGGAACTGTAGATGTCCTTTCAGGTAAGCAAAGGACAATGACCTGCTGTTAAAAACTATACAAGTACTGATGTTTAGGTCCATCAAGCACCATAGTTCTTGTGTTTTGTTTAAAAGTGGTAGTTGTCCACTAAAGAAGTACTTATTTATTATCCAGGGCATTAGACAGCCCTGGATTTTTAACATTTGGTTTTTGGTAACCCTCAGGTAGACACTTAGTTGAAACAGATTGCTTCTCCTCTCTCTCAGCTGCAGGGTTTGCACTGAGCACATCGCTTGCATCTCACAGTGGAAGGAGGGTGCCCTTACCTGGGTGAGGTCTGGGCAGGCAGCGTCCCACTGGAGGGGGCACTAGCACCCAGGTCATCCACTGGAGATGTGCACACCGGCTTGCTGGAGGCAAACTCCAAGGCGTACTGCAGGACATCTACCAAGGGGAATCGTTTAGGACCAGAACCATAGCTTAAATATCTGTTAACCATAAAATGTATTAATGCCATCACTCACATATACAAAAAAAAAAAAAGAAAAAAAAAAAAAAGAAAAAAAAGGAAAGAAAGAAAGAAAGAAAGAAAGAAAAGTACAACCAAAACCGAAACACACACGCACACATGCACACACACACATACAAAAGAATAAAAATCAAAGCAGAAGGATTTTTTTTCTGGTTGACTTCAATTAAATAAAGCACACCTTTCCTAGCAAGTTTCATGCATCACAACTACCGTAATTAAATAGTTTTCAAAGGAAACGCTAAAAGAAAAGAGATAAAGCAGTGAAATTTAGAGCAAATGACTACAGTCAAAAGCATAGAGCTGAAAGGAGTTATTCTGTTCTACAGAGCCTGTAACATTATTTACATTTACATTGTGAACAGTTATCTATAGTACCGTTCTAATCTCTGCTGTAAAACCGTGAGATACTCTTTGAGTCTCTTGATTTCATCCCGTTTAATTCTTGTTAATTCTCTGTTTTTGTGCATATATCTGTAAAACATGAAGGTTACAAAGGTACATCAGCTCATATCATTCCAGCACTGAAACAAAAGTCTGCAGCCAGCGTGGTCACCACTTAGTGCTAAAAAATTACTCTCCAGAACTTCTTTTACCTACAACACATTAAACAGTAAAACAGAGCTGAACAGTAAATAGTAAGCCAATTAAGCCTCCCACCATACCTTTTAGTAGAGACTTTATCCCCAATATCAAAAGCTCTGTTCATGTAATGTATTTGTCTTATACACGTATTACAAACATATCAGAAAAGTTCTAAATTAAGCGCTTTTAGTAGCAGCCACGTATCAATACTCTTGTTTCACTGTTTAGGCTCACAAATAACATTTAGTAGCTAACTGAAAGCCATGATGATAGTTCACCTCTACATACAGACACCATGCACTGATGCTGCAGATCCTTACATTCTGAGTATCTTCATACCATGCAGTCTATCTGGAACACCATGAAATAGCTGACTTCTCACCCTCTTTCCCGAACTGACCAATAAACACTGCAAGACAGTGACATTTTTCAGAGTATTTTGCCTGTATATACAACTATCTAGCAATAAGTTAAAGACTGAAGCACAAGAAGGTTTTGGCATGATGTAGCATTATGTCTTAAATTGTCATCTAAGTGTATTTTCTGAAACTGTCACTAAAACCTACGAAATTACAACTTTTTCAGCTAGAACAGAAATTCACTAGATACATTAGCAATTTTACCAAATTCTTGAAATTCAATTTATATTCATACTAAGACTTTGTTGGTAACAATATACTGTACCTGTCCAGATACAAAATTGGAGGAAATTCTAATTTGTTGTGTATCTTCTCTGGTCTCCCCAAAGCCTGATTAAATTCAAATCTTGACAGCTCAAAAGTTAAGACAGGAGGAAGCTCAGTGAACCAGTGCTGAACAAAACAAAAAGACAAAAACCCACTGTGAATGCTTTCAGTAACAGAACTTCAGTAATAACGGTACAGTACTTGCATACTGACACAACTATGGAAGAAATTACTTTTAGAGAGTCCATCAAAGTTCCCATATTTTCAGCTTCACTGAAAATAGAGACAACACATTACCTATGCACATCAGAGCATTTCAACTCATCTACTATTTACTGCATTAAATAGAGCAGACTGGAGGGCTTCTTATTTTTTCACATTAATCTCTCTTGTACTAAAAGCAATCTGCACTTGAATGCCGCTACCTTTCCAAGTGTCCTATTCTCCTTCAACTCTCAAAGGCCATTGAAAGACTTGTTCATATTGTATGAAGTGTTCTTCCAACAAGTTCTTTCAGATTTGAGTTTCCGACCCTTTCATTCAACTGATAACACTCGAAGTTTCTAATGACCTTCTTCCTCATAAGCAAAATCAGTAAGTGCTCTGTGCCAAATTAGTTAAGTGCTATTACTGTTGTAAAACTGATACTTTTTCTTGAAATCTCATTTGTACAAATAACATCTTTTAAAGTTTCTTTTCATTTCCCTAATCACTGCTAGCCTGTCCATTAACCAACCCATATTATTATCATCTCATCCCAGCTTCCTCCAGGTATTCAACACAGGTCTATCCCTACCCTCCTTTTATATTTCGTTTAGTAAACAAAAATACAAGACAAACTAGACAAACTCAGCTCCATTAGAGTTCTTTTTTTCCCCCCTTCCATTCTCCAAAATAAAGAGCTAGGTCTATCCATTTATGGATGTGTAATATGTTTTGTATGCAAGCTTTTGATTGCTGCGGGCATGACTGTCACACAATTTTGATGTAAGCACCAATGTATTTGACTTGGGGCTCATGGCAAGCTTTCTGTCTAGTGAAATGTCTCAAATATTCTTTTCACATAACACCTCCATAACAGGCTTTTCTTTCTTTGCTCATGGTTAAAATTCTAGTCTAGGTTCTCACCATTCCACATCTCAGAGCAGTGTTTCCTCTTTGTCCAGCCTTAGCAGTCACACAAACAGCTCTCAAGCAGATTGCTGAATTTTCCTAGTTCATTACCATCAGCATCACTCTCTTCCTGCATGCAAAAGGAACTGCCTTGCCTTTTCTTGCCTATGTTAGCCTTTATTAACTATTCCTTAGTATTAAAGCAGACAATTTCTAACTTAAGTCTTTCAACTCCTTCACACAGCAGTATATTTCAATGCTAAAATTAGCAAAACCAAAACACAATCCCTCCCTAAATCCGTTCTATTGCAAGGACCCCAAACCATTTAATGACTAAACTGCTAATCTGCTGAACTCATCAACATCAACAATGCTGTTGATAAATTTGATCTAGTTTTCTCCATACTTCGAACCCCATGCACACACCCTGACCTCCATCTTCTCCTGAATTTGGATTCAATTCCTTGAGACAGGCAATGCTGTCTTTTCCATGTTTGAATATTAATTCACATGTGGATATCCTCTACTGCATGGCCGATCTTTCTACACACTACTTTTATAAAAATAATGAACTAGCTAAATATTCCATTAAAAGCAGTAGTGGGAAAAAGGATGAATGAATAATAACACACTACAACCACAGAAATTCCAAATTTCTACTTTTGAGGCATTAATGTTTAAGCAAACTAACAGTTGCAGCAGGTACAAATACATTATTTAATTCCAGGGAAAGATAACCTCTTCAGGTGACTCTATAGTAATAACAATGTTTTCTAGATTAGGACTTCACGTTACCTTTCTCATTGTGCCACTGTTGTCAATACGATTATTTCACTTCATTTTCACATGCTAACCTAAACTAATTAAAACAGCTTCACAGAGCTCAAAGATTAACACTCTGGAACAGTATGTGATTATCCTTCCATCCCCTGTAAAAACATTTTTTAACCATTAAAGGTTGAAAAAAAACAACCCAAAATAAACAAAGTCTGACATTTCTAGTCAAGCATTAACAACTGAACTGACATTTTATGCATGAATGCACACAGACTTTAAGTTCAAGCCTACAGTCCATAAGATGGACGATACTGTTCTCACTGTACCTACATACAAGATTTTATCTTGCTTAAAGAAATCAAACTTTGAACTGTGCCAATATATTTAGGTTTTTTTCGTGTGCTGGAATTAAAAAAGAAAAAAGAATTTGAAGCATCCTGGCAGAGAAGAATACAGTAAGATGCAACAATACATTTGACAATGTGGTAATTGAAAACATACACATTTGCTAACATCTAATTTTGTTGATCAGTATTTGATAAGCATTAACTGACCAGAAAAACTGACTGCAAAAGAGGTGCTACAAAACTTCTGTTGTTAACACAAATTTTAAGTGACACTTCGAATTGGAGTATGATATCAAGGTGTATCATCAGGGTGGGTAATTAAATCCTGCATACTGAGATTATTAAAGGCTGCAATATTTCATTATTGCAAAAGACTAGAAGAAACTATATCTGATATTTTTATTTAAGCAGAAGAAACCTCTGAAGATTTTACGTCTTTAAAGTAATTGTGATGAAACATGAGAGACTGTGAAGTACAAGTAGTTCAGCCTTTGCAGGAAATAGGAATTACTTTATTTCCACATCAATAACCGATACGTTACTGAAAGGAGTCCTGCCAGAGAAAAATGCTGGACATACACAAGCATGACCAAGAAATGGACAAATCAGAATACACCTCTTTGTCTTACAACTACCATCAATCCAACTTCCTCTTTTCCCTAACTTGTTACTTTTGCTCAAGAAATTTCATTCATCATCTTGACTCAACATCACAAACTGCCTATCCCACTTCCTAGAGGGGTGCCATCTTATTCCCTCCACCTGTCTGTCTGTCCACAGCAATTAACAAAAGAGAGGAGAATTGTGCATTGCAATAGGCAGAGAAAGATGCTGGAAAAAACAGTAAAATGGGAGAGGGGGAAAAAGTACAGCGCGCTGAGAAATTACAAGAAAGAGTACAGAGGAATAATAACCACTCTTTGAAGCAATGGTCAAACAGGCAGCATGCACATGTTGCTTATAGCATGGCATAGGACAGCAAGTCAGTAAAAGCAGTGATTAACTACCACAGAACATTATAAACATGACATCTTTGGAGATCAAATATCAGCAACAGGTGGGAATCAGTCTGTGTCAATCACTTTATGCAGTGCTATCGTACCAAAAAATAATATTCTTGATACTCAAAAGGTAGTACAAGCCCCAAAATTAACAATCCAATTATGCCAAACATCAGAATGTGCAGCAAAATTAATAGTGGTCACATAACAAAGATGAGCAACAACAACAAAAGAATCCAAGTGAAATCCAAGTGAAATGTAGGGCACTACAACATTCTGAAAGATGTGCTCAGGGGCATTCAACTCACCTCCTGACCAGACTTTGCAGAGTTTTCTGAATGGAGAGATTCAATTTCTCCTTCAATCATTGCAGCTTCTAGGCACTCATGCAGATCTTTAAAGCCATTAACCTGTAGTGGATACTGGCCAAACATTTCCGTGTTTTCAAATTTTTTACCTTCATAGAAGAAATTAAACAGATAAGGTGCTAAGAATTAACATTTACTTTTAAAGTAATGTCACGGAGTTGACTAGATCAATCTATGTCCGTGACAGGGGCGACAGGCCTCTGCCCTCCCCCCCACCCCAGTCCCACAAAAATGGCAAGGAAGGAAGGGAGGAAAAGAGCAGCGGCAACAATCTATAGAGGAAAACTTATTTTACTATAATATTGGAATACAAGATGACACAATATATACAATTTAATTGAAATTGAGATTAATAAATCAGACAAGATGAGAGAGAGAGAGTTCCCGGGACCGAGTCAAACCTGAAAAGCTTGGAACGGCCAGGAAAGCACCCTCCAGCACCCACTGCCAGGCAGCAAGAGAGCGCCCCCCCCACCCGGAAGGGCCAGATCCCGTGACTGCTGTAATGTACAGGGATAGGTAGCTGGGATTGGGGCAGTGACACTTTAATGCCCCGTACACTACATGATGTTTTGATGTGGAATACTGAAACCCAAAATAAAAACAAACAAACAAACAAACAAAAAACATAGAACCATGACAAGTAATAACAACAACCAACAAAAATACACACCAAAAGATCTAAGAAAACTAACACAAGGCAAAACAAAAACAGTAACACCAAACAATTATAGATCACCTGGCCTAATTTACTGAACAGTATTCTTATTTTCTTACTGAGCAATTGACTTGTATCTATGAAAAGAAGGCAATACTTTTCACCTTAGATAATTTATTTTATTTCTATGTGTAATCACAATAAGCATATCTCAAAATGTTTTAAGTGTGTAAAATTGTAGCGCCAAGTCAAAGCCCTCTTGCAAATAGCAGCTGAATAATAGAACCCTCTACAGCATCAGCAAAGAAAGTGGAATTGCTGGTAAGATGCAGCTCTTTGGACAAGTATTTTTTGCAAAAACAAACCACAAGAAAAGAACATTCATTATTTCCATCCTGAAAAGAAGATCATAGCTTGGCTACAGTGTGCAAGCTCAAACATGTTGAGAAATATAACTTCAATAATTTCAATTTATAATTTCTATTTATTTCATCCTGAAGTCAGTAACAAGTCTTGCATCGGCCAGTTGGTGTTGTCTCTTTTTTGTTGTTTTTGTTTTGTTTGTTAACATCTGCTCAATAGAGATGTGATTGTGAAGGACAAAAGAATCTAAAATAAAGGAATGAGAATGCTAGCTAGTAGCAAGGAATTCAGACAACAGTTTTTGAGTCTGACAACAAAGCACTGAAGTGTTCCAGGCCAAGGGACAATATAAAAGACACTTCAAAGATTATATGTTCTTCATTCAAATGCATCTCAACAATTATTTGCTCTCTGGGCAGGGACAGAATCAGCAACATTAAAAATGCTTTCACAGTTTCCGTCCACTGGAAAATATAAAAGGCTGCATTTCCACAAATTGTAACCAGTTAGATAAAGGAAAGCTTGTTGTACAGTTCTCTGACTGCTCAGCACACTGACACTGCCCTTGAGCAAGTTTCCAATGGTTCCTTGAACAATACTTTAAAGAAGATGAGTTATCCACACCAGAAATTGTGCAGACAAATAGAACTGAAAATTTAAATTCCGTTAAATGAAGAAGATTGAGAGAGATTAGCTCAATAAAATGTAGTCACTTGTCTTCTGTATACCTTCTGTATACCATTAGCAAATGACAAAATGCTCTGATTATCCGTTCTAGCAATCATTTTTGGTCTGCAACTCAACTTCCACTACACTTCAGGACACACTCAGCTTTACAAGGTAATGAAACAGTCATTCATGATGGCTGAAGTTCACCACATTCACTGTTAGTCTCATCTTCTCAGGACAAACCTTTTGACACATTCTGCAGGTGTATTCTCCAAGCTTATTTTTGCAGACAGCTAAAAATGTTACAACTGCATCATTCATCTGTGCATTCAGACTACCACTGAAAACATACCTGCACAAAAGTCCAAGTAAATTCAGGCACATACCTTCAAGTACACCAACTGCTAGAAATCGTCCATAAAATAACTCCACCATTGGGTTCTTTGGTTTCTCTCCATCCCTGAAAACAGAAAGCATATTAGTACAAGATCACAGAAAGCCATAAATTCTTACAAAAATGTGTAAGATATTTTAAATTTATTATAGAAATGCTGACTATTTTACTTAGTTACAATTCACTGTTTTGTACTTTCCTCTAACGACAACAAACATTCACATATTTGCAATGGTGAGTATAGTCTGAAAATTAAGTTTCAGAAGCACTTAATTCCAGCAAAACTTATGTAAATCAAATTCAAATCAAAATAAATTTGTGAAGAACTACTTTTTCAGACACTATAGAAACAAGTATATGTTCAAAAAGCAGTTTACAAGTAGATGTTCACTTACACAAACTACCAGCATTCATCTTCTGAGAACAAAAACAGGAGCAAGGTTTTGAAGAATTTAAACTATGGTATTGAAAATTAAACTGCATTCAAATGAAAAAAAAAGCTTAACATTACTGACAACACATATCTCTACTATTTATATATTCTGGATATTTAACATGGAAGAAGGTGAAAAAGAAAATTCAGAAAATTGAAGCTATCAGCATACAAGGAAAATTACATTTTAACGAGTACAGCTACAAGTTCAGATCTTTTTCAGCCATACAGTTAAAAGTAGATTTCTGTTTGGTTTGTCTTTTCCTCAACTAAACGTTCAATACACAGGGTTAGAAAAAAAATCTTACCTCTCTTCTTCAGCTTTGATTTGGAAGGCATCTTCCAACCAATCTAGTAATTTGTGTGTAAATTCACTAACATCTTGCTGTTGGAAAATATTAAATGATCAGTAAACATTCACATATATTACAGAATACAGTGGTATGTCACTCTGCAATATCAAGATAGCAGTATCCTTCCCCTACAAGAATTCCCAAGTCACACAGTGCCTAAGACTATGCCATGGTTTGTTTTTGTGTTTGCTTTTTTTTTTTTTTTTTTTTTTTACATGCACCTCTTAGAGCACATTAATATTCTAGTGTTCCTCAGCCTCTATGTAGTCTTGTGATCCTTATTACTTGGACTCAGCTTTCACACCACTGCAGTTCAAAGGCATCTTATGAATCCTATTGTTCAAACCCTCTGGTATCCAACAGTGACTAATATTACTTTCACCAGGCACTAACTTCAGCATGTTGTTGTAATTAAATACCCTAACCATATAACCTCATGCAGGACGTTTCTGTAGAAATAAAGTGTTTCTGGAAAGAGCAAAATCCTACTGTTATATGACCGTATGAGAGCATATATAATTTTGAATTAAAAAAACATAAATTACCTGTTGAGAATCATTTGATTTAAAAGCATCTTTAAGAATTTCAACCGCCCTAGATGGGTCGACATATTTTCTTTTTGAACCAACCAGAAGTGCAAACAGGTACCTCAATTCACGCATGAAAGGCAAATTCCTATGTTCCTGTATTTGAAGAATTAAAAATATTTAATAAAGCAGTAACAAAGATACAGTTGACAAAAGTGCTGGTGAATGAACTAAGCATATATATTGCCAATTGTCAAACTAATATTTAAGTTTACTTCCATTGCTATCGAGGCTGTGTTGCCTTTTACTTGTCAGATTTATCACAGAACAACAGCGTACTTGAGGTTGGCAGGGACCTCCGTGTCCATCTGCTCCAACCCCTGACTCAAGCAGGGTCAGCCAGAGCATGGTGCCCAGGTAGCTTCTGAAAATTAGCAAGGAGAAAACTTCAAAACTCCTTGGGAAACCTGTGCCAGAGCTCTGACACCTTCACAATAAAGACATGCTTCCTGATGTTGCAGGAACATCCTGTCCCAGTTTGTGCACAAGACCTCTTGGTATTACAAAATAATGTCCTATTTACAAAATAATGTAATTATCTGGAAAGAAAATTACACTTCAGAAACTGACAGCTTTTTGAAATCACATCGAGATGTGACTGTTTAGCTTAAAATAAGGCCGAATGAACAAGTGGACAGATCTGTTAATCCCAAAACCTACTTACCACTAAATCTTATACACTCTGGGCAACAAGCCCAAATTCCCTATGCTTATTTCTATCAGGCCCTTATAATGAAGAATAAGTAAACTGAAACACAATCAATCACAACACAGATTAATCCACTGGTTTAATGTGGAGATTAACTATCACTCTTAGTCCTTAGTGGGTAGCAGACACACTTGTGAAACTAAAACCCATGTAATATCCACTTGTACTTAGAACGAAGTATCATTCAAAGAGCACAGCTGTCAGATGCCCATCAAACTGGAATTACTTGATGACAAACACGCTAATCAAAGATCAGACTTGTTTAGTCATTCCCATGTCAATTCAGTATGTATAAAGCTTCTAGTACATAAAGGCTTTATTTCAGTTTCAGATATCATGGCAGTGAGGAATTAAAACGTGTTCTTCATAATACCTAGAAACTACTTCTAGTCATGTAAATTCTCAACAAATTTTCTTTGCTCTTTTAGTTCCCTCTGCAAAACACCAATTATAACCAATGTTCACAGGAAAGATCAAAGGCTTCACCAAACGCCATCCTAATTCTACAATGAATTTTCATAATTTGAGAATATAATTTAGTCTTCCATTTACATATTTAAAACAATTTACAATTATAAAACAGGGAAACTAACTGTGATTCGTTCTTACAATTTTAATAGAGTGATCTACTAAAGATGAACAGAATTACAATTTATCAAGAATCTTCTGTAGTATCAATTATCTATTCATATGCATAACATAGTTGACCATAATGCTCTAGATATCACCTCTGTACTATTAAATTGCAAGTACACTGACAAGGAACACAACTGCATCAACCAAATTTACAGTAATGATTTGGCTGACTGTCAGGCATGCAGTTTTCAGTTAAAGAAAAGGATAGTGATTTCAGAAAGAGTACATGGAATAATCTGTGAAGTCTAAAAAGGTTTTCTAAAACTAGTAATTTTTTTTCTTTGAAAGTGCTCTTTTAATGCATTTGTCATGATCCTCAACCAGAATATGCAGGTACTATCACAACAAACAGTGATTTTCACTAGACAAAGGCTAAAATCTTCAAATGGGGTTAGCTGGGTCACAAGGAGTTGTGTATTAGAACAAAAGAACTGATGAAGTAAACACAGCATAGCATAAGGTCTCCATTTTGAAGCATACTCTATGTGCAACAAGAAAAAAGTTGAATTCAACTTTAAAATAGAAGTTATATGGAAAATTCTTATCTAAGATGTTCTCTAATTTATCACATATCTTACCTGCATAAGCACCTTGTTAATGCAGTGATGTTGGGACAATTTGTGATTAAGGAATACTTCTAAAACAATCTACGTATTTGATACGTAGCAAGCATTCATTATTGTCAAGCACTATGCCAGCACACTGGCATGCCAATAATGTTGAAACAGCGAACAATGTCCTAACCTGTAGCACATTAACTCTTTTCCTGTAATAACTGAACATTTCTTGAAGATCTACTCTACATTAAATATGTTTGTGGCCTCCCTGATTACAGCAAAAAATACCTTATGCTTTCATATGAACAGATAACTGGGAAAGCATGTAGGATGCAGTAAGTACAGAGAATCATATTTTGTTCCATGGGAAGCTGACTGATCCACTAATGAAGAAGAAGGAATTTCAGAAAGGAAGAAAAGTTGATTTGAGATTTTAAGTGTATATTGAAGTTTAAAAGTCAAGAAAAGCAAAGTTCAGTCAGCTGAAATAAGTGCGTGTGGGTTTTGTTGTTTTTGTGCTGGTGGTAGAAGTTTTATTTGTTATGCCACAATTTTTCCCAATGATTTCCAGATAGAAAATTTTGCATTTGAATTTGAATTCAATATATTGATAATAGATAACAGAAACACTTCACTGTGCACTGAAGAGCAACGATATGCTTTAATTCTATACCATGACACTGTTACGATCCTGGCATTAAACTCTACTTTCCATCAACAAGAACCAAAGCTGAGCTTATTAAAACTTGTTCTATGAGCAAGGAATATCAGTCACATCCAGGATTCAATACTAGATGGGGAGGAAGGGGGAAGTAAGCAACACACCACACATATACACACAAAGCAAGAAGAAACCACCACCACCTACAAAACAAACAAACTAACACACACCACCACAGTAGGTAAAAATATTTGTTAAAACAAGTAAGCAGACATAAGTAAATCCAAGGGCTTTTTTATTCTTGTTCTTTCTCCTCTCAAAATATTTTTATGTTAATACAATCCTTTTTCAGCTTCAGGTATGAGATACAATTATATGGATTAATTACAATTCCACTCTGGAATCTAAGTTAAGTTTAAACATAGGAGAGGATAGGAACTACTGCCAGAGATTCTTACTAGTAGGCTTGCAAGCAAGCAAGGTTCCTACCTGAATCCTACAATTTGCTGTCTCATCATCTCATACGATCATTACATGTTTGTAATGATAAGAATTTCTAAGAAATAGCACTTTAAATTGCTAAATGAATATGGCTGCTAGTGGCAATGCTTGAGTAAGATATTTCTCAAAGACAATAGCTTGCAATTATTATCTCTTTACCTGTGAATTGCCTTACTGGAGCAAAGCATGATTTTATCCTGTCCTTCTTAGTAGAACATACCAATCTGTCATCCTCTTGTGATATGCTCCTAACTCTATCGATGCTGTATTTTCACAAAATCTCATGATTTAATGCAAACACTTTTTCCTAAAGAAAACAAGTGACAACTTGCTCTTTAAGCAGAGGGGGAAGGGGTGGAAGGGAGGATTAATACAGTTCTGACTGAACATGCAGCTTCCCTTTTATGGTGCATACCTAAAGGTTTAGAAAATGGACACCATCTCTATTTGTTTTCTTTTGCTTTTCAAATTGCAGCTTTTTTTTCCTAGTGAACATTCCAGTCAATCCTCCAATGCCAAACAACTTTAAGCCATGCTGTCAACACACTCTCTTTATAAAATCTTAAGGAAATGGGCAAAAGACAATAGTCTTATTTCAGGATATGCAAAAAATCCACTGCTCTGCATTGCTGAAAATTAGGACCCTAGATGCTTTTACATAACATACAGCAACTTCCTCCTTCTATTTCTTCCTTATAAAAGAATGTGTAACAGAGAATTCATTTGTGTACCCATACATCTTTCCTCAGAGGATATCCTCTAAAGGAAAATAACTTGATCTATTTTGTCCCTCAGTTCATGACCATTCCTCCACATTAGTCCGAGATTACAAGAAATCTGAGCCAATTTCTCTACTCCTCAGTTCTATATGAATACCAAAATGACCACAATGAACACTGGAGAATTTATGTTTACTATCACCTTGCTAAAAGGCTAGAAGAGACCAACTAATAATCAAAGGCTTATTCTCAGATCTTGAATTGCAAATAATTAACACACACTCCTTGTCAACAGTAATGTTACAGGTAAAAGTACACTGATCAAAACTACGCAGAGCAACCCAAAAGTATGCCCATACCTACAGTGCGAGAGGAGCAGAATAAAACATGTTTGTTCATACAAACTACTTCCACATTAAAACCGCACACTCACTAGCATCAGTGCTACTACTATCAGAGAAGCCCATTCAACAAATCAAGTCTAAACAGCATACTATACTTAGCATAGTATGCTAAGCAAATTCTATAGGCCAGGATGTTAAGAAAGTACTACTCTACTGCGTAGTCAACATGTTTTAGGTAAGATCCATAATAGAAAGCTCAGAGCAGTGTTAATTGGCTTCTATAAAATGTGCTAATTTGAGCTACAGGGCAGTACAAAATTCAATTACAAGAGAGAAATGTCCTCATTAACCACTAGGGGAAGTCAGCTCCTAATTTACCTTTTGGTTTCGGGGCAAGTCTTGAGCATTCGCAGGAGGATTGAAATTCAAAACTAGCCTTCGAAACTCCAGTAGGTTAAATAATGACTGAAAAGGAAAAGAAAAAAAGTGTTAAAGCACTTCTGAAAACTCTAAAAAATTCTTCAAAAGTGACAATAAAATAAATACTAAACATATGCAACTCCAAAGTTTCATTTCAGAAGCTGCATTATTTCACTTAACTTGGTGAAACATATTTTCAACATTATACAATTATCTTTACAAAAAAAAAAAAAAAACCAACTCCACAGTATAATTTAAAAACATATTAACAACCATGTGAATGGAACAAGAACAATGTATGATAGATAGAAGAAATTACTTTTCTACAACAAGTATTTTTTTAATCGCATAGCCATTAATTTTCAAATTAAAGTGAACGCTTGTTTGACCATAGGAAATTTGTTTTGCAGTCCTCTATAATTTACCTCCTCAATGGAGAGTGGCTATATCTTTGTACACATAATGTAAACCCACTTGCAATTATTTATAATATTTGCATTCTATCAATTCTTCCCATTACTGAAGGATATGAATAAGGCACATTAGAGTGGGAAACTGGGCTATGCAACTTGGCAAAAACTGTTGCTATTTTATGAACAATAGGACATGAGAACAGGTTTCTATGGGCACACCTACAAAGAACATAATACTGCAATACAGAGCCTGGAACAAAGAGAGTCTAAGAACAAGACTTTTGATCGCAAGAATAAAAGTTCAAAGCAGTGGCTGAGAATTAACGCCCTCAACACTTAAGTAACTGCATCCTTGCTTTTCAGTACAAGAAGGAACTTCTTCAGTTAAAGCTGAAGTTCTAGAGTTTCTTAAAAGTAATTTAGGCTTAATAATATCACTTCATTACAACAGATGAGCATTTTGATGAAGAAAGGGTTACAAAAAGGATCTAATTTATCTATGTATGCTCAGAGAAATGCAGAAAGACTCTCTTATTCATCCAACTTTATTCATTACTTTTGTCTGTACAATCTATAACGTTGTTTTTTTTTTTCCCCTGTTCACATGTTAGCTACTTATTTTGGAAAGGCAGAGCTTGCCTACACTGACAGTTGACTTTGATCATGCACCTTGTCCTACAGGTAAAAACATGTCACAGACCACAGTGGATTTCACAGGATTTCAAACCATAATGGAAAGAAAGTAAAACACATACTATGAAGATCCACTGGGTCTACTCTAAGAATTTAAAACCTTTCGGAACAAGGAAAAGATGAATTCATGAGAAGTTGCAGCACTCCCAACATTCCTCATAAAATAGCCTTTTCTGAATTTGATATTTCCTATACACCAGACTACAGAGCATCTCCAAAGTCAGAAGTCTACAGATGTTGTCCTTCCCAATGTTTTTAGAGTTAAAAACAACAACAAAAAACCAATCCTGCTAAGCCACCAAAAAAATACTTTTCTGATCTTGCTAAACCAATACAATCAAATAAGCAAGCTTTTCCTTTTTTTCCTTTCTGTTTTGACATTCAGAATACAGGTTCCCATTTCATCCTTCCTCATAGAGAGGGAAGATTAAAACAGAGTTCTTTATTTACTTACTCAAAGCACAGAAAATGTTAATATTTAGTTTAAATGATATTCTAGAGGTTCATACTAATTGAAGTTATGTCTTATGATGTAACAGCATTCCACTGATAGGCTCTTCATCAACTAAAACATAGCAATGTCTTACATACAAAACAAAACAGCTGTTGAAATATAATGACCAAAGATTGACCTCTCTCCATGACTAATCCAAGTGCTATCAAAGCACCAAGCACAGAAAGTCGTACCAAAGTTTATCATTTTTGCCTGGCATTTGATCCACATTTCATTTAACCCAGAATTTTCAACTGTGAACATACAGCTCTAGTAAGCTGAACCAATCTTTTTCTGAAAACGGTTGAAGATAATTAAGGACATTCTTTTCTTTAGCTTCATTCAATTCAAAGTTATTTTGGGGATTTCTTAAATGTATTGAGTTACTAAACGCCTCTTAAGAAACAGAAGCTAGTTTTACATGATACACTGTGCATGTCTGTTCTAAGATGCAGCAGAATGCTCATAGAGTAATTCACTGCCCATAGCGATAATGCTAACAGGACAGTCTCATGTCATAGCTCTTTCATGCTAAGCTATATCAACTTCAGGAAATTTCTCTGTATTTATAATAAATCTTACACTCAATTACATTAACTGAACATAAATTCCTGGTTGTATTTAAATATCCCTAATTGTACAGTAAAACTACAGAGATACTAGGATTGAAAGGCACCCATGGAAGTCACGGTGTACAACCTCTTACTCTACGCAGCATGTCAGTTTCATCCAGAACAGTTTCAATCATACACCATTTGTTTGTTGCTGAGTGATACATGCATGCCTGGGGCTGGACCAGGACACTTGTTGGGGCAAGGCCACCACCATAATGGCACAGACAAGAAGGTGGGACCAAAATGAAGATAGGAATCACTCCATACCATGTGGCACCACACTGAAGGCCATAACACTGGCTGGGAGCAGCATTGCTTGGGGGTTGAGAGCATTGGTTGGCAGGGTGATACCCTGTGGTGCTGCCAGGCATCATGCTAGCAATGGGTGTCAGACAGCAGGTGGTAATTGCAGTGAGCCATATATACTGTTATCACTGCTTTTTTGTTTCCACTTTCCTCATCTGTCTTAGCTAATATTTTTTCTCACATGAGTTCTGCTTTGTTTCCCATTCTCTCTGCTGTCGCACCATGGGGAAGGAAATGGTCATGTGGCCATGCTGAGCTGCAGTCTTTGAAGTGCAATAGAGCCCACAGTTTCTCTGGGCAGCCTCCTCCACTATCCGTCTCTCCTCACAGAGAAAAGTGGTCCTTACATCCACAATGAATCTCTTGCCCCAAATGAAAAATTTTGATTCACATCCTCCCAACACGCACTGCTGTGAAAAGCCTGGTTCCAGCTGGGCAATGGCCTTCCCATAGGTACAAGGTCCTCCCACAAGTTCTCCCTTCCTCACAGGAGCGCTCCAGTCCCTAACCAGTTCACTGAGTTCACCTCATCATGTCAGTGACCTTCTTGTACTGTGGGTCCAAATCAGAGCACTATGAATATCGAGGCACAATCGTTCCTCTAGCTCTACCACCTGTACTTTTGCTCCTATGAACTAGGATGCTGCTGGCCTTCCTTGCTACCAGGGCAGGCTCCCACTCAGCTTGCTGACAGCCTGGAACCACAAGGGCTTTCCAGCTAGTACAGGCACAGAGACTTTCTCTTTCTTGGGAACATGTATTTGCATTTATCCTTGATAATTCATAACGTTCCTTTCAGACCATTCCCTCAGACTGCAGAGGTCTCTCTGAACAGCCCCTCAAGAATATAAACTGGGCCTCCCACCTCATCTTCTTCTGATAACTTCACCAAGCTAAAGCTGACCATCCCACTGACTTGCATGGGCCAAGTTACTTCTGGCTCAGTCCTCATCCACTGTTGAAAAGTTGTTCTCCCACAGCTAGGCACACAGATATGGGAGACAGTAGTACCAGTTAAAATTACCACAAAAATCAAGATTTTTAGACTACTGTCTCTTACTGTGTCTGTTCTGGGACAGAACAAAAGAATAACAGAAAGTCCAATTGAACAAGGAAAAAAAAAATCTGTGTTAATTCAGGGACTTCAAACTAACAGTACTAACAGAATGGCAACAGAATGTCTGTGGCTGTCTTGGTGTAGGTAGTGATGTAGACATACAGGGGCTGCTCCAAAAGTAACATTTCTTGTTTTATTACATTGGTCCATGATGTCTGAGGCAGTTGTTGGTGGTATGGCAGGAGAAGCTGAACCTTCCCACTATTATTCCATTACCTTTTGTTGTATGCAACACACGGCAGCACAGGGGCAGTCTGACAGAATGGCATGTGACATGGAAACATGTATGAAGCAAAGGTGTATCAGTGAATTCCTCCATGCAGAAAAAATTGCTCCTGCTGACATTCACCAATACTTGCCGAATGTTTGTGGAAACCAAACAGCAGATGAGCACAATGAGGCAGTGGTTGTTGTGTTTCAGCACAGGCAACAGCGACATGGAAGACAAGCCATGTTCCAGACAGCCATGTACAGCTGCCACACCACAAAATGAAGAGCAACTTGATCAGCTCATCCACACAAATCACCTAATGATGGTGACTATGTTGAACAACAGTGTTTTGTAGCAGAGTATTTGCTCTATCAAATAGTGTTATTGTGTTCTTCATATCCCATGTTGTAGTTCCCATGAAAATAAATAGTAGGCATTGTTTTCAGGGCAACCTACATATTTTCTGTCATGTCAATGTGAATTTGGTAGTTGCAGCTTCAAGAATATAAGATATTAGAAACATTCACTTTTCTGAGTAATGTGTAACCTAGTTACACGGAGTCTAACGGTTTCAGAACATAAGCAGCCTTGGTTTCACTTAAAACATCCTGCCTATCCCCCTTTTTCCCTCTTAATATCTAGGATTATCAAAATAAGGACCTTGGAAGAATTTAGCTTGGCAGAATAATGGATTAGTTCTTAACATTCAAGTACTGTGATGTTATATTAATACTGCAAGAATATAAATTAGCATATTAAATCCATAAAAGCTTAATATGCAACAGAGACAATTAACAGCTGACAACAGAGTCCCAAAATAGTAAAGTTATTGCCATCAAACATACTTGTAGAATAGGAAAACAGTAACACTCCATCTAGATAAAAGAAAACTTACCACGTTGTTACATGTATCTTAGGACAGGCACTCTCTAACAGATTCTTGTAATATCTGTAAATGCAGGGCACTAAAACCAGCTATTTCTTGGACATGTACACATTGTTTTCCTTGATTAGAAATTTTGTATTTGTTTCCATCACAGAGGACAAAGAAGCTAAAATTTCTGAGCAAAAGCTGATGATTTATTAATACTGAGTACCTTTCTGAAGTTTACATGAAAACATACAACTTTCCAATACAAAGAACACAGCCATCTTTTTATTCATTACAAAGATTAATGTCAGAAGGAAGAACCTTCAA